CACGCTCCGATGGTTCGTATGAAAGTCCGTAATGACGTGATTCTCACTAGACCATGAGATTCTGCCAACGCGCCGTGCTTTGTGGGATATGCGCTCCAACTGCTTGTGATAACAGAATACTGGAATACCGGTACCGGGACCACAACTGGCGTTCAACGAAAGACCTATTTTGTTTTTTATTGGATGTTATATATTTCATGAATTCCATGTAACTATGTACATTTCTGGTACACCTTTCAAAATCCAATGGCTTAACTCAGTTCATATGTTGACACCATGTACCTATCCCAAAATTGGTGATGTTCAGAACTGGATTTAGACCATGAGAGGCCCCTTCATATTTTTGAGCTTAGAATTTCTCTCTAAACAACACCACATGTCATTGCTTAAAATTTAAAAATATGAGTGCATTAAACTTTTCATTCTCCCCATTCATGGGTGTGAATTTTTAATTAAAAGAATAAAAATTTACTTGAGGCAGTTTTGCCTTCAATTTCTTTGATCAAACAACCGCTACAGTCATACTTTAACATGGAAACTTCCAGCAGAATGCGCATAATAATAATTTCCCTTATTATGATGCAAACGACGCAATAATGGCTGTGTACAATGTGGTTGAAACCAGTTGTGTACAGAATTTTCTACTCTGAAAACTGGAAAAGCTTGATATATATATATACGTTTCGTATGGTTTAAACTTGTCAAGTTTTCAAAAGAATTACAAACTTCGAAACCGAATTTCGAGGCTCTAGGTTTCAGCCTGCCTAGACTATTGGTAAATCCAGCCCTGGTGATGGTCCCTACAGCAAATTTTTGGCCCTAATCACTCAGCAGATTGAAATAAATGATTTTCAGCATTTATTAGCAAAGATAGATATTTTAATTGAACATATAGTTCAACTTAAAGCCTGTATAATGATATTATAAATATATGTCCCATTATTACTGCATTGTGAGAAGGCTTTCCACACTATCAAGTCTATAAAGTTTTAGCGTCTTCCAATGTCTCAGATGGAAACTTCAGTCTTCATTTCGCATATTCTTTTCATTAATGCCATTAGCATTTGAAGCTTGACTGATTCCAATGTACCTTTTCCATTGTTGTTTGATGTAATATCCTAAACGTGACTTCAAATTTTTTTCTCACTTCAATCATCACATGTTTGAATACCCGAGCTGACTTCTACTGATTATTAATTTATAATTTTGTTTTATAAATCAACTGTCGTACTTGCTAAGTGTCCACTAAGTGAAAATCTACAAAAAAAGCAGTGGTTTAATAATGGACTACATTTTTAACCGAATCCAAAAATATTCCGTAACTTAGTCAACCCTTCCTCCAAGGAGTTTTTGTTAAATTGTTCAAACATCTTAATTAACTGTTAATCTTGATAGCGAACATGGGGGGGGGGGGGGGGGCAGAGGGGAGCTGACTGTGATGTGATATCGTTCCCCAGTCTATACCGAATAACTGTGTGTTTTGTATATAATTTTTATTGATTCAATGCTTGTATTCTGGTTGACAAAATAAATCTCTCTCTCGTATTCAGTCATGTTTTTTAACCTAGTTAGGAGTCCGGTATTGTACCATTATAGGTTGGAGATATTCATCTTTTTTGTATACCGGTACCGTACAACTTATCCTGCCTATTGGCAAGCTGGCCAAAATTTTTGTTCGTAGGCCTATTTCAGTATTTACTAAATAATTTAGTTTTCACCTCTTGCAGCCTTGGTACGGTACCGGTAGTTTAAATAACACGTCAGCATGCCTTCAGTAAATGATTGCTAGCTGTACAGGTATAAATGTGTAAAACCAGTAAACAAATCACTTTTTTTTTGCGCGCGTAGGATGGGTTTTTAAATTGATAAGGTCTATGTCTGATTAAATTGTCCAAAACTTTAAATAAAAAAACGATAGTGCTTCTAAAATGAAAAAGCAGATCCGGTCCAAATTGAATACAGTACTCATAATACAGAAATGTTCGCCTTCGGAACGAGATCCAAATTTTATGCCAGCAAATTGACGATAATGATGCCTGAGTTTGTGCGTAGATAAATACTAATACCCTGTTCTGCGCAAGGCTTACAACTTATCGAACCAAATAAATGGCGTATGCAGTAGAGATGTACCGATACCACTTTTGTCGGCGATACCAACTAGAAACGCCGATACCGATACGCCGATATTACAAAACGGCCGATATTCCGATACTATGTAAATATTGCCTCACGTGTTCAGGGCAGACTGGTTAAAACACTGGTATTTGAGCATTATTCATACTACACATTATTTCAGATTGAAAAAGGATCTAATACATCATAAGAAATTGATGTTTGGGATTCAGATGCGTTAATTAATTTAGATGCATTGTGTACTGAAGCTAGTAATCTCGGTGTTCAATTAGAAAACTCATAGGCAGGGATGTTCAATTCGAATTTAATATTAAAGATGTCGATGGACTAAATGACACTAGCGCTTAACGATAAACAGTCAGAATTTTAACCCTACCAAAAAGTGCGTATACTGTTAATAAACCCGTTTCTACACTATTATTTAAAACTGGGAGCCTATAGTTGCTCTTATTTTTGTGCTTGTCAATTACCACCACAATTTATAGGTTTAAATACCGTAATGCTTATTAAGTCTACTTTCTTAGAGTAATTTCATTTATATCACACATGTCTTATGACTGCTTCACAATGCAAACATTACCCAAAGCCTAATTTATATGTCCCTGGATTTTAGGAAAGTGAATTGTATTCATGAGGGGGATTTTAGAATGTATTCGGAATTTCAGTATCGAAAATATTTTTAGAATGTATTCGAAATAGTCGACGGGTATGGCCATCCCTGCTCATAAGGTTTTGCTACACGGATGGTGATATAAATAAATGTTTAGCCTACTTATCATATCAAATTGATACATTGAGTTACGTAAGATTTTGTCCCAATATAACGACATATTTTGTATTTTACACATTAGAAAATCTACTAATATTCGATTGATATATTTATTCATAATTAATATGTGATATTAAAAACGTCAATATAAAAATTTGGCAGTAAAAATAGCCAAATTAGTTGAGCGTTTGGCTGATAAATAACTAAGAACAGGTAAGAATCCCATTCTTGTTTCTACTCGCGGGGGTGGGGACGTAGGCCTATATGGCTCATAGTTCACGATTCCCCCAAGCAAAAAATAATTTAAACATCATTATTCCAACTTTTCTGGATCATATCAAAAAGGTAAACATATCGGTCTTCATTTAGTCGATACCGATACATTACCAATACCGAATAATTGGACGATAATGCCGATACCGATACATCAGTACACGCCCTAGTATGCAGAAGACACTCGACGATTTATATACGCTGAAAACTGAATAAGAATTTCTTACTACAAGGATTTTGCCCTCAGCCAGTCAGCCGAGTTCAAGTACGTATGTAGTAGTAGTCTCCTTGAACTATGTCTGTAAGTATATATATATATTATTTCCAGTCAGGGACGTAGCTAGGAATATTCAAATGAGAGGGGGGGGGTCTGAAATTGGCGCTTCGGCAGCATGTATACCAAGATGACGCACAACCTGAATCAAAACCTGTTACACCTACTATGGTAAGGCTGTGCGCCATTTTGGTACACATACTTCGGGAGCACCATGAAATTTGTAATTGCCAAGTTTGAATGTAACAGATGGTCTGGCCGGAGGCCGCAAAACGCGAGTTTCTAAGAGAACTGATGTTCTAAAAATTGCTATGTGTGATACAGAATGTTTTTAGAAATCGAAACTGAATATGTCAGGATTCGCCAGGAACAAGGGCTTCAAATGGAAATTGCGCACTGAATGGATGTTTCCCCGAGCATTGACTTCCTTGTTTACTTCATGACATTGGCCAATCAGCAAGATGCAAAAAGGGACGTAGATTCGCATCCGCTCAGACACTTTTCTCGCTCAGACAGATTTTCAGGCGTCGTCGTAAACATTACCTCGTTTTCGCGTTTTTGAAATCTATTTGTTAGTTTCTAGTTGTGTTTCGAATATTTAAATATATATCAAATAATTCAATGATCACTTTGTCCTCTTAGGAGTTTTTAGTAGTAGTATATAGTTACGATTTAAGGTATGGGAAATATGTATTTTAGAGTATATATGTGTGGGGTAAATATGCATTGAATAGCAAAAGCAACGGCAAGTTTATACAACGCTCCCGAAGTATGGTGCAACAAGAAGGCGCACAACCTGAACATAGTATGTATACCAGGTTTGGTTTCAGGTTGTGCGTCCTCTTGTTGCACATACTTACGGAGAGCCGTTTATACTTGAGAGTGCATGTACGGGGTAATTGTACTAACACACATATTATCCGTATCTTAGAGTGATTTCCCGTCACTCCCACTCTTTGTGAAATTTTTCGCTTTTTAGTGAAATTTCCGTACCCACACAACCCAAGCGTATATTTCCCGTTGCTTCCGTTTTCTAGTGCAATTTCTTCTAAACATACTCTGAAATGAGTATTTCCCGTACTTTAAAGCGATTTGCCGTCATACCCGCATTTTAGTTAAATTTTCACGTACATACACCCCAAGCGTATATTTACCGTTGCTTTCGCTTTCTATAACAATTTCCCCTATACATACTACAAAATGAATATTTCCCGTACCTTAAAACGATTTCCCGTCATTCCCGCTTCTTTCCTGTATTTCCCGTCATTCCCGTAGTTCCCGCATTTTAGTTTTTTTGCAATTTCCCGTCGTTCCCGCATTTTAGTGCATTTCCAGTAGTTCCCGTTTCCCGCATTTTAGGGTTGCCCGCCTCTCTATTCGTTTTCTAAAAATTATGATTCATATCATTCGCAACAGGGCAACCCTAAAATGCGGGAAACGGGAAATGCACTAAAATGGGGGAACTGCGGGAACGACGGGAAATTGCAAAAACTAAAATGATGGAACTACGGGAAATTTCACTAAAAAGCGGGAAATTTCACAATAAGCGGGAATGACGGGAAATCGCTTTAAGGTACGGAAATATTCATTTTTGGGTATGTTTAGGGGAAATTGTTCTGCGAAAGCAACGGTAAATATACGCTTGAGGGTGTATGTACGTATGTAGGTGTCATTATTAGTCATGGTTTCGACCCGCAGAACCCCTCCCCCTGGCTACGCCCCTGTTTCTAGCTCATTCTGAAAATGTGATGTAGGCAACTCTGGAAAGTTTGCAACAAACAGATATGGATAACATAGCCTACCGTACTTCTTCTGTGTACTACAAGATATAAAATATGGTTGGAACGTAATGCAGTCATTTTTCAAAATATTAATCCAAGTGTTAATAATGTCATAACAAGAATTAAAAAATCCCTTTCAGCAAGGAGAAATATAGTACAATTTAGACATAAACCTAGTTTTATAAAAGAACTTGACATACCGTAATTTGCAAGAACTATGACTAATTGTACAAATTTTTATTTTTCTGCTATCAATAATTAAAAAACATGTAAATTTTATATTTGCTGATAAACATTGGAAAATTTATCTGGAATCAACAATGGAATAATATGAATTGCTGGATAATACTGGATACCGTAATGTTTATGAATATATTTGTTTATTATATGTAACTATGTTCTATGTTTATTATTTTTTCATCATTTATTTATTTTTACAAAACTGATATGAATCCACAATCAGACAACGTGGAACTTTAAAAAAAAAAAAATATGGATAACGTTAGTTAACCAGTCTTTTAAATACCGGTAACACTTTTTCTTATAAATATAGATGTATTCAATCATCTTATTATTTATCATACAGTCATACCCAGGCCAGGATAAATGTCTGAATGTAAAATTTGAATCAAAGTACAGCACTTAAGAAATTGATGGGTTCTGTATTTTTGAGTCACTCTGTATTTGTGTCTATGTTTTGACAATGTAACACAGTAACATAATTATAGTAATAACTGAATCATATAGACTCGCAGATTGGACTGTTATTTGAAAACCACTGCCTTATAGAGTTAAACCCAGACAGTCATGTCTCATTCAGTCATTCAGGTAATTTTGAAAACTCATTAACGTAATGCAGTACAGCAGTAGCTTAATGTTGCTTCTTCAATTAAACTCTTTGTTCTTTTTGTTAAGAATCTTGGTCAATATAGCACAGATATAGTAGATAAACATCAGTATGTCTACTTTTGATGACTGGCTGTCCTGGTTTGTTCATGTAAATGATCCATCAGTCTTGGAAATGTGGAAAGATCAACCAACATATATATTTGTCAATTTGATCGTCATTACAATGGCAAGCCTTTCGCTTATGTTTGCTCTTAGACATGGATTGGATAGCAGATATACATATTTTTGGCTTGCCACATTGCTACATGGAATCGTCACAGAACTTGTGAGTTACAACCTTCCTGACATCAACAATTTCTGGCATAGTCAAACTTTCATGATGTTTGCTGGACGAAGATTTCCCCTGTATATTGTATTGTTTTATCCTGCTACTGTGACCCATGCTTATATTGCAGCTAGTCGATTGAAACTGCCATGGTGGGCAGAACCATTTGCTGTGGGTCTCTTTGATGTTCTGATTGACTTCCCATATGATATAATGGGAATAAAAATGGTTTGGTGGACGTGGCATGATACTGATCCTAATCTGTTTGACCGTCATTATTGGGTTCCATGGACCAGCTATTTCTTTCACATGTCATTCCATAGTTCACTGGTGTTTTTGCTGCACGGTACACGATATGTCATCACTGGAAATACATCGAAAGACAAATCGTCTGGATTTTTCAAGGAAATGTTATGTGTGATTATTACTAGCTCTTTCTCTATGGGATTTGCAATAATTTTCCAACTACTACCTATCTATCATGGACTGAAGGATGGGTTTGGTCTACATACTGAAAATATCATGTTTGTTGTTTTTGGTTTGTATTTTGCCATCGTTTGGTATGCAGATAGAACTCCCACAAATGACGCCCGGGCACAAAACAAAATTTCTAAAACATACTGGTGGAATAACGAAACTGGTATTGCTATTCTACTTCATTATATATTTTACATTATTCTAGTTGTCATCGCCAAGCCACAGTATGTTAAGTCTCGTGGGATGCATGAAACACTAGGTCCGAGGTCGGAAACCATGAAGATGCCTGTTGTATCTGGTGCTGTATATATCAAGCAACGATATTTTGACCCAGCATCTTATGATGAAGGTTACATTGACTTTCATTGTCTTCCTGAAGGAGCACCAAATCTCACTGCAAATCCGCATGATGTTGGAAAGTCTTGGTACACAGTATGTGGTAATAAGTTTGAGAATCATGTCGAATATATTGTTATGATTTGGTCATTTTGTTTTCTTGGCATATTTGCATTTTACAACGCTTTAGGCAGATCTGCAACTCAAGAGAATGTTGATGAAATGATTCTAAAAAAGAAAGTACCGGTAATGCAAAAAAGTCAAAGAAATGTTGATGAAACGATTCTAAAAAAGGAAGAAATGCAAAAAGGTCAAAGAAATGTTGATGAAATGATTCTAAAAAAGAAAGTACCGGTAATGCAAAAAAGTCAAAGAAATGTTGATGAAACGATTCTAAAAAAGGAAGAAATGCAAAAAAGTCAAAGAAATAGGAGGCAAGATGTGAGAAAAAAAACTGGTAAAAATAAGAAGAAAAGTCAATAGAACCTTATTTTTTCAATACTGTCTTCAGGGTAATTATTTCAAAATTGATGAAATATGTTGTCAACCTGATAACAATGTTCAAGAATTTTTGTCATAATAAATATTTTCAGGAAACACTTTGCATTGCGAGTATATGGAAATACCGTAGTTTTGAGTGCTGTTATGGCTTTGTAAAGAAGATGTATGTATATTGTTATCTAAATTGCAAATGTATAAAATATTTAGTAGTTAGCATGAAATTATCTATTTGTATGTGAATTTTACTCTTAGCTGATTTTTCCATTATTGTGTACTTTAAATTGAAGCTCTAAATTTTAATTGCCTATGCATCGAAACTTTGATTTTTTATGTGTACTATTCATAATTACGATACTTCCCATTCTTGTTGCAAGCAGTAGCATAAAAAATAATATCATGATTGTACTTGGTGCTTTTAAAATTAATTTGGATTGTTTTAATTAGTAGGTCTTTATTAGCTCTTAACTTGTATAGTGTGGAAGAATAGTCTTCATAAATTGTGATAGATTTCCAATTCAGCAGGAAATCAGTCTGAGGTGTTGAAAATTATTAAGGTCTTGAACATTCTGGATGATTATTATGCTTGATAAAATCAAAAAGTTCAGCCTGCTGCTATTTTGTTACCTGTGTGAAATTTCAAACTATATTTTGTGTTTTTGCTCTCGGTTGTTTGCTAAATTTTGTACTTTTCACCTTATGGGGAGATTAGAAACTGTGCAATTCATTTTGGCCTCATTTATATAAATTTAAAATTCGTAATTTATTATAAATAATATTTAGTTGCTAGATATAAATATGTCATGGAAGAAGCTTCGCCAAAAAAGAGGACTAGTTTGAGAAACAGTGTTTTAAAGCGACCAAACAGAAATCTAAGCCAATCGTTTGATCCCACTTTCCATCATGAGGGCATGCCTTCAGCTGGAAGTCTTTTCAGGAACTTGGACCCGTTTGGGTTTGAAGGAATGAGCCCTTTTGGATCTCATTTTGATGAAATGGTAAATATGTTGCTGCTAGTTTAATTTTGTTATTTTTGGCAAGAAAATCGCATTCCCTTTCGAGGAAATTCAAGTTTCATTAAATGATAATTTGTTAGTAAAATAAAACAATTTGCTGTTTCAGATCAGAAAGTCTATGACAAACAAATAAACCTACATGTACCTCCAGTTCACCTATTACTATCCACCTTAGAAATAATATATACAAAAGTCAGACCACAACATTTTTTTGAGAATCTGAGGCAACTAGATACTTTTTTGTTTAGATGAGCAGATTTTTCAATGACTTCCGACCAGAATCTTTCGCAGACAGTCGATTTTATCAAGAGGATCGGGGTATGTTAAGATTATTATTAGTTAATATCAATACACCATCTTCAATGAGACCTGAAATAGAACTGCAAATCAATAGTGTCAGTGCACAGGACTAGAGCATCCTGAAAATTTAGAATATTTATCATGTTGAAAACTAGGAAACTATTGGCAATTACATCCTTGATGTTGATAACCTTATTTTTTTTCGAGAGAATCTTGGATAGTCAATTTGGGAAAACTATAGTTTGACTGGGTCAAATATAATTAATTTTTGGGTTTACAACAAAATGTATTAGGCAGGAAATTTTATATGAACCATCCTAGATTTGGGTTAATTAAGATAAATAGTTTATAGGTTTGAGCCCAAATTCGCATCCATAGGTCTTTGATTCGATACTGAGTCCGTGTTAATAGTAATAAGTCAGGTGTTTAGTCTATTCTAGTTTAGTACTACCACAAGTAGGCTGCTTCTAATGGGCTTGTTATAACCATTTTGTATATGGTATTCCTAACCCCCACCTGACTACGTCATCCAAATATTACGTCACAATCACGTCATATAGCTTGCCAGTACAATTAAAATTTCAGTGTACAGTATTTGAATTTTGTTTTTAAAATTAATGCTTGTGTAATGGTGACTTGTAGCTTTTTTATACACACGAGCATATTCAGAATGAACAAGATTAAATATAGCTTAAAGTCAACTTTATGTATTATTCTGTTTACAGACTTAGATGAAGATATATCAAAGCAAGGACTTGACAAAACTTTAAGAAGTAGACCAGACCACCATTCCCCAAACACTTTCATGGGGATTTCTTATTCCGAATCAACAGTCACAAGACCTGATGGGGTGAGACATTGAATTATCTACAGCAGGGGTTGATGACCCATGCTACTGTAAAATAATTCAGATTTTGGCGTTTTAAACTAAATTGTAGGGATGAGAGGGCCTGCTGCACATTTAAAATATGAATTCAAACAATTTTGTTTGGAACTATCTTAGTGTAAGGAGTGGCAACCTGTCTTCGGCTTAGATTGACTGTCACGCAACACAATATCTTACACCAAAAATGGACACTTTTTGCATTACACTTTTCATCATCTTTTGCAGGCTGCAGAATTAATCTTCAAATCATTTTTATTTTGGAAATGACACACCAGGCCTTGTATTGTCTTGAAAATATAAAAATCTTTATATTCTATGTTACACCCCTGAGAAAAGACGTAAATTTATGTTTCTTCAACTCATTTTCTTTATAAAATTCACAAACTTTGAAAACAATAATCTTAAAATGCAACCACACTTGTGTGAAGAACATGTTCAATCAGATCTTCCAAGTGAATAATACACTGATAGTCCCCACCAGTGAACTATCTATTCCTTTTTTTTCTAAAGACTTTTAGACCAAGTCTTACAATATTTCCTTTTTATCAACCAATATTATTTTCCCACTCGTTTGAAATAGTGTGAGATGGCATGAGCAAAAGTTTTCTTCTAATTCCAGACAGTAGAGCGAAGAATTTCACACACAAATTCACATGGTAATGTTGAAACAAATGTGACAATAACTCATCCGGACGGTACTGTGGAATCAGTTACAGACGATTCTGGGTCAAGAGACTCAAGAAATCCCACAAATAATATTTTATCAGGTAAGATTATATATATTTCCATGTTTATCTATTTCGAAGGGTGATAAGGTGGTTAATCGTTTTTTAAATTATAGTCCTCGCCGAGTAATGCAAACTAGATCATTCAATACCAATTTATGCCTATCATGCTGAGACGTGGCGACTGGCGTCAATAAATTTCAAAGAATAGCGCTCATGAAATTGGCCCGTATTTTATGCTAGACCTTCTATTGTTGTTTCTTTTGTCCAGTGCAAACCATGATTAACAAAGATTTAAACAAAGATTTTTCACAATTCTCTTTTACAATTTTTTTCTCGTGTCATTGTCCCATCCAACGTTGGTTTCTGGCAAGTTTATGTCCCGAACAAATCTTTACGTGTTTTGGGAGATTCATTGTAAAAACATCATTCTAGCGACCTATACTTGATTTTCATCCTCTCATACCGGAACCTGGGACATGGACGTGCCAGAAACTAACTGACTATATTGTACATATCGTCGTTGTGTCGTACCTCTCTGTCTTGTGTATTTTTCTAAAGTTTTATTTGTATAGCCTATTTCATGTTTGTTGCCCTATCATAAGTTCATAACGTATCAGTCCTAAACTGCTGTTATAATTGTCAGGGGTGCATGTCGCACATCTGTGTCTTAGGCCAGTAAGGTCTTGAACATGTATTCCCGTCTCTGTTTTACTGTTTAATTAGAGGCAAATAAACATACATACATATCATGTTAGGTGTGACGGTAGCCGGTTAAGTTGTTCATTAGCTTATCATCAGCTATTAAAAGGCAGTCATATTTGTAGTTTCTAACAAATCCCAGATTTTTGGTGTGGTGTCTGCTTCTGTATATTTTTGTGAATAGCTGCAAGGAAGTATCATTTCACCACATGATTATGCCTTGGTATTTCTTCAGTGGGATTTGTCTCCCAATGAGATGAGTCTAGCTTTTCATCTGGACTTCTTCGCAACTTAGACATGCGTCACGCAACTCCTTATCTGGAGGGACATTTTGTGCCTTTATTTTAGTACAAACACACCCCTATTTTCAAGCATGGGCCATGTGACAGCAGTGACGGAACGCCTTAAACAGTAACCAAAAGCAAGAAACAATAAAAACTTTTTGTTTGTACTATATTTATCTTCCTTAAAATAAATAATAAAAACGCCACCGATGCAACATAACAACAGGCTGATTGGAACGGTAAACTCTCATTCTCTAATACAGTTAAGAGTATCTATAAGTATCTAAACTCGCAGTATTCTGATCACTTTTAGGTTTTCCTGACTGCGGTTCGAAAGGCCTCCTCTAAATGTTTTGCGACCCTTCAATCTCGCAATCTTGGACCACCCTGTTTTAAAGGGTATTTTGGCCCTGCATTCCTTTTTATTTATATGCACCTCGTTAATGTCTGTTGTAAATGTTTATTATTATTATCTTTCAGAATTCAGAGGGACTGAAGAACCTATTGATGATCAAAGGGGACTTTTCAGAATAATAACAGATGAATTTAAAAACATTTTCTGATAGCCATTTGCTGGGCAGAATTGTTCTCATCTCTAGGTCTAAGTTCTTTCACTGTAAATCAATAAATTTCAAGCCATGAAATCCTGGCTTACATATGACTTTTATGTTTAATTGTTGTACACGACTTGCGCTAATTTGCGACCTGATGTGTGCGCTTTTGCACTTATGTGATATATCTCATAACTGAAAATATGATCAGATGTCAAACTGGAGGCTGGCACCAGTTACTACTGCAGAATAAATATAGCTTGTGTAGAAAAGGTAGAATGCAGATCTTCGTATTGTACGAACTTGGATTTTATGGCGTCAAGAGCATAGCGTTGATATTAATGAACCAATTATGCGACAGGCTATTACGAAAGGGAGTTGTAATCCCAACAATACTACATCCTGCTATGCTGTCAGCGGCCACATTTTTTCATGTATGGCGATGATGAATCCACTAGACTAGCATGTCCGTGTTTACAGGGAACAGGTAATTTTCTTGCAATATTTACCCATAAAGAGAGATGCCTGACCAGGAGAACCAGTGCAATCTGGGTGCGCCTTTAGAGATAATTTGCTTATTCTGGCAAGAACATGGAGTCAAATGAGTACTAAAACTTGTCCTCATGTTGAAATGGCCCCTGGTCAGTTTTGTCAATACCATTTATCACAGTATCACTCTTGATTAGGAGCATTTTCATGCATTGCTAATCGTTGACTATTGGCTGTTTGTCGGAGTGACTAAAACATATGTTATAAAGATGCTGCTGGCTCAGACTAGGTCACTGAAGAAGAGCGATCTAATGTGAACAAATCCTGAATTAACCTGTTCATTTCATTTATATTTCGACTTTTCGTCTAGAACACAAATAAACAAAAATAAAGGACACAGACAAGGAAGATGGGCAAAACCTAGAGCAGGGTGGTCCAGACCCGCGGGCCAAATGTGGCCCGCCACTTCATTATCTGTGGCCCGCGTCGCATTTGCTGGAGGGTAAACAAAAAAACGCATTTGGTGTTGCTTCGTCATAAAAAAAAATAACCAGAAAAACTTTTAACATATTTTTACATCACTACCGCCATTGAACTGACTAGTGTTATGGCTAGCTGAGGCAACTCGCGAAGTTAAATAATATGCTTGGCTAGATTCAATTGTTAACTGGCTTTCTAACTTTTTGGTCGGGAATGTATGCTAAAAAATAGGATTCAGAGAAAACTAAAAATCGAATGAGGAATCTATTAGCCTATGTTGGCTACGCCTGATAAAGTGATAACTAAATATTAATGGTATGGATAAACAAAATAATTCCCGCCGTTTTTTTTTTGCAACCAGCCTAAACAGTATTACAAAAAATGCTTCTTATATGTCCGAAAATTTAGTAATTACCCTCCTTTATCTCAAATTAGGTGAAATTCTGCAATCAATCAATCTGTAAATATTTGTGAGTTATTTTGTAAACATGCGTTTGAAAACATAGCTGACCAGTTCAAACAGATTTTTTGACTGGGCATCGGAGGAATACCACAATGCTTGCTTAATATGTGTCTGCGAGTTGTGTCGGCGACAATCTAAATCTCCTTATCGCACTTTCTCCGTTATGAAGCGTTTGAAATCTTACACTAAATGTTGATATAGTAAGATTTTTGCACGTTTTGATGAGTTTTTGCATGTTTTAGCTTGATGAATGACAAATAATGCCAATGTGTTTGGACAATAAAATCGTTTGTTTTGTATTGCACTGTTTACTTGTTCTTGGCACTATTGTGGCCCGCGAACAATAGGAAAATAATAGTGTGAGCGGGGGGTTGACAACCTTGGACCACCCTGACCTAGAGGAAAGTTTATGGCAAACGCTGTAACCTGTAACCAGCGGTATTTACCATTAGGTTACTTGAAAGCTTGGCTGACAAAAAAAACAAAGAAAATAACAGAAATGCATTTCCAACCTGCAAAGTATAGTATACATTATTATACGCTACGCAGTATTATAAAGACTTATCGGCCGAATGATATCGGTCACTAGATTGTGGTTAAACTATATTGTTGTAAAATAATCTTTCTCATCACAAAGCAAATCATTTGTATATTTTGTGAATGGCAATAATCACGTTTTCAATAATTCATATAGACTAAGATGTCTCCACTATTGGCATATCTGCTAGTAATAATGCATTCACGTAAGTTCACACGCAATATCTCGTGTATTGATCATTATGTCACGTGTATTTTGCAAAGCGTAGGATAAGTGATATGCATAAGCAGCAAAGGCTTCGAGCTATGAATTAGATTGTTGTTATTAGCCGCCGGCGCTTGATTTTTAATGAATTTTAAAATATTTTCCCAGTGGCGTTGATCTCTACATTTAATTTAAGGATCAATGAAGTATATTAATGCATTCGACTTTGTATAAAGCGGCTGTAGAAATTATACGAGTCAAGAACAACAGTCTACATCTACATGCTACTATGGGCATGTAGTTATTGTGCGGTCGCTGATGCTTGAAATATATGTGCCGTTTGAGTTGAGTCATGCATACGACACGCACATGGCTACAGAAAAGCGGTAGATATAGACTAGGTAAACACGCTCTAGTTCTTGTAAATCTATGGCCTTTTATGAACTGCTGTGTACCATAATATGTGCCCGTGTGTTCGAGCGGATTGAAAACACTTTAAAACCCTGTTGTTACTTCACAGTGTACGTCGAGACGAGTTTGTCTTAGGCTCATATTGGATCGAATTCAGTCTTGAATAAGTTGACCCAAATATAAAACAAGAAATCTAGCGGATCAAACTCTGATAAGCGTCGAGCGACACAAACGGACGTGAGTAAACAATGTCAAGACTATTAATGTACAAACAAGTACAATGTCAGACTATTAATAGATGTTGGAGTATACGGAATATAAAAGGCCTGCTTAAATTGAGGTTAGAAACGAAAAAGAAGGAGATATCATATGAGAAAGAGATAACCAGAACATATTATATTGGTATTTTATTAAGAATTTTTTCACCGGCTTCAAACCAAATTCGTTTCTCTGATTAGTGTTGGTTGGCGTGACCTACATCAAATTTGTTTTATATCTGTTGTAAATGTTCTTGCGCCCTGAGCACAGTTGCCTCGCTATATCCCTGTGCTTTATTCATACATTAGTTGAATTTACTTTTGCAGGGACACGGCGAAATGTTTTTGCTCGCGCTTACAAAAGGCCTTCAATTGGATCCACTTCCACCAGCAAAGTCATTTCTCAACTCCTCTGTACCACACGCACCAGTTCGCAAACCTGATCTCACTGAATTAGAGCGAAAGGTAACTAATTATATCCGAAGTGTAATTTTTTGTATCGTCTACTCACTCGTTTACGTGTTCTTTATTTCCAGGTTGCATTGAAAAATGCCCTTCGATATTTTCCTGATAGCTGTCATTCGGTTTTAGCTCCTGAGTTTGCTGAAGAACTAGTGGAGTATGGCCACATTTATATGTACAGATTTATACCAGATTTTGAATTGAAGTAAGTTGTATAGAATATTAAAATGGATAAATTCTCCAATGAAGAGATATATGCAAAGGCTAAAACGTTAACGTGGTGGCAATTTGATCATAGTCAGCATTCAGTGTTGAGAGCCGGATTATTTTAGGGTGGATTTTCTTCCAGTATTTTCTGATTTTAATATCATATTGACCGGGTACTTTTTCATGTTGGGTTTTTTTTATGCATCCACTAATTTTATTTTTATATTGACCCGATTGTATTTAATTTCAAAAAAGTTATTGTGAATCTGTTAAAATGTAATAAATAAACGATGAATTAGTCATTGTTTTATATCAAATTAACAAATATCACCAAATATAGTCTTCTTAATATTTATTTGAGTGCTATGCACCATTGAACCGACCAAGTTACGTGAAACAAAACATAAACCTTCGCAGCAGTGTTCCCTCTAAGGTGTGCGCGGGTGCGCGTGCACACAGCTTTCAGGGGCTGCGCACACGCCGCATAGATTTACTGTGCACAGACGTATTTCGATGTAATGTAACAATGTTCTTTTGTTCTTTTTTCACCCTTTATTTAAATTCAAATAAAACCATCTGTTACAATCAATTTCATTTTTTTATTTTTCATGCATGTTCATTGTTATCTACTGATAACATATAGCCTTCACTAAAGCATTTACAATCTATAGAAAAACTTATTGAATAACCAAAATTTTCTTAATAAGCCCACTTATTACCAGGTTACAACGCCAAATTTTCTTCATTGGTTTTTGCACAAATATTAGTCATTTCCAAAAAAGTGCGCACACACCAAAATTTCTGCTCACACATACTACAAAAATTAGAGGAAACATTGCTTCGCAGTAAGCCTTTTTTGTAACACATGGGATAATTCTACAGTTCTGTGTAGACTAATTAATGACAAATACTCCTCATAGCCAAGTCAATTTCCGGAGTAGAAACGGCTAGTTTACATGAATCTTTTGATTGACAGAGCATATCCTATCGATCAATACCCATGCAAAGTACGACATGCAGCTGCGATAATGCACATGATAATGAATAACTTGGATCATAAAGTTGCACAGGTACATTTTCACTATAGACATTTTTAAAACAATTATAGTTTTAAGCCAAGTAGTCTGCTTTATTTCTATTTGTTCTTTATTTTACAGTTTCCACATGAGCTTGTAACGTACGGAGGGAACGGACAAGTTTTCAGCAATTGGGCGCAGGTAAAATACAACTACTGCATAATTTTATATACCTAATATTTTGCTAGTGCATTGCGTTACTAGTACATTCATCGCGTGCCGCATTTGATTTCTATGTTGATTCCTATGGACATTCGAATTGTATAGAAGTTAACAGCATGTTAACCTTTTCCCCTTTTAGACTAGTTATGGATTATAATAACGGAACCCGCTTTACAAACATGTGTTGTCACTGTAGGACCGGGGAGCTGGTTTGAAATCACTGCGGCTCCGACTCCAGCTCCGGAGGCCAGTATATATATTCAAACTGTGGCTGGCTGGGCTCCAGCTCCGCTCCATAGCCATTATTAGTGGCGCAAACTGTTGGGGGTTCGGGGTCGAAGTCGCAAAAAACGCATGCTTTTCCGATTGTTTTTGTAAGTGTAGCGTGTTATTTAGGCTGTGAAATTTTTTGAGTCGGTGTTATGATAACCCTTTTATTTTTGCACGTAGGCTAACTGTGAATTCATTGAGAGTTACACCATAAGCTCTGCTTTAGGAGAACCGCAACCGATTAAAACGCCTTCCCAGACATTGTATATCTCATAATTTCGTGTGCCTACGACACATATATATTATTTACTGATTGGCTTTGGGAATCATACCTTCAGTCGGTCACTGAAACAAATTTAAACACAGTCAATCGAGCTCGCGATGTACCATTTATCTATTCTGAGACTAACGAAGGAAACTGATGCGACTTTCCCCCCAGATTATGATATATATATAAGATACTTAATGAAGAGTAAATTCTCTCATATTCCCGCTCTCGCAAAACTTTGTAAAACTATGATTTCCAATTTATTAAGACATTGTGCTGCGCTTTACATTTACTGCAACAGCATGGTCTTTGTTTCTTTTTGCAGTTTTGGATTACTATGCAATATCTATCAGAAATGGCGGAAGATCAAACCTTAGTAATGTGTTCTGGACACCCACAAGGATTGTTTCCAAGCTCAAAACAAGCACCAAGAGTAGTTATCACTAATGGTAATTCATTTATTTAATGACAAACGCATATTTTTGTTAGAGATCCGGATTTTTATACAACAACTGTTAAGACTGTGAGATAAATAGTTAAATGAAAAAGGATTCTGCAGAACGAATGAATCTTCGTGAGACAGAAATTTTGATATTTTTTTTTTATTTTTGCCCGCCATCGTCTACCTAATGAAGGTTACGAATGGCGTCTTACGCTGGGCAATAATGCATCAGTATAATTCCTGGAACACAAAGAAAGCGCCGATTTGCTTCAGATTCGTTATGGCAATTAAAGTCGAATTTTCACATATTCATATAAATACAGACAGACATTCGTAACTTCAAAGTTTGTTGGCCAATAATCTACCAATAACCGATTTGTTTTTAGGGTTAAGGCTTGTGCAATTTTACAGTTCTGTGAGTTTATGTGAACAATAGGGCAGATGGTTGCAATATAATTGACAAGCCTTGATTTTGAATTGTCTTTATGTTGACCAGGCATGGTGGTTCCTAATTATTCTTCCAAAGAGCAATACGAAAAGCTGTTTGCTCTGGGGGTAACAATGTATGGCCAAATGACAGCTGGAAGTTACTGTTACATCGGGCCTCAAGGAATCGTTCATGGAACAACATTAACTGTTATAAATGCTGGTGAGTTGCAACTTCGAATTATGCTTGCGACGATATTATCTCAAAGAAGTTTCATATCTATGACTTATCCTATTTATTAAACAGTAATAATTCTTTCTTTCATATGGAATTTTTCGGAGATATTCGGGTTTGAATTTTGTTTGAAAACGAGCCGTCAAACGAACAAAACACATCTGCAATAACTAGCAGCAAAACTCGTCAATTTGTACGTCCGTGATGTTTGGCAATTGCTTTTGTTTTCGGCATATATATGCTCGTTAGAAAAGTGCAATTATATACTTTGCTCGCATGTTTATTATATTGGAATTTGACATTATGAAAACGCGATGCCCTGAAACATATCAAAATGTTCTGACTGGAAGCGAGCGATGTCCATGGAGCTAATATAGACAGCTATGGAGTAAATTTACTTTTATGGGGTTTGACTTGTAAATTAGGACCCCATTCTAATTTGCAATTTGATTCACTTTGTTTTTGGTGGTATTAAGGCCGCTTATACTATGATTTCAATGACAATCATATTTCTTATGATTAGAATCTATAAACTTTTTTAGGCAGAAAATATCTCAATACAGAGGATTTGTCTGGAAAAGTTTTTGTTACGAGTGGACTTGGTGGAATGAGTGGTGCTCAAGCTAAAGCTGGAGTGATAGCCGGATGCATTTGTGTAGTAGCAGAGGTAAATAAAACGTCAAAATTTCTAAAATACTATATTGATATAACTGCATTTCAAAAAGTTTTCTGTTAAACAGGTTGATGAAATTGCACTTTTGAAAAGGCACGAACAAGGATGGTTGATGACATGGACCGACAATTTGGATGAATGTATTAAATTGATTAAAGATCATAAGAAAAAGAAAGACTCTATTAGTATTGGATATCTAGGAAATGTTGTTAATTTATGGTAAATATTTAATGCAAAGTTAGATTTTACTTTTAATTGAATATTAATCTTTAAACCTGACTTATACGAGTTGAAGGCGCATTTTGATTCATGGACTCGAGCAAAGCATTGGTCAAAAGCCGCGCTATTCTAATAATCTGTTCTGCTACAAATTTATGATAAAATTTTTAAATTTTTTTTTGATTTTTCTTCAAATTATTTGATCAATTTTCAATCAACTTTTTAAAAAGTTTTTTTTTTTTATAATTGAGGGAGCGTTTGGTACACGAATACGAACAAACCGGTGAACTTCTCGTAGACTTGGGTTCTGATCAAACATCATGTCACAATCCTTATGGTGGAGGTTATCAACCTGTGGGAATTAGTGTCGAAGAATCCATACAATGCATTGCAAACAATTCTGACAGGTTCAAAGCCCTCGTGAAAGAATCGTGAGATCTAATTTTTTATAAAACAGTATAAAAAAAAGTTTGATACTTTAACGTAAGTTAGTTAATTGTATTCATGTAATGATATTTTATTTGATAAGTACGTAAATGTATACTAGCTTCTTCTGTGATGAACAAATAAATACAAACAAATATATACTGTTTTCTTGAAATGAATTGCTTTTAAGAACAGCACTACACTAAATGCAGAAGGCCAAAATTTTATTCTTTGTTCTCCACTTTTTTAAATATAAAAAATATTGTCTTGATGTTGCCTTTAAAACACCAACTATTGATTAGGACAACTTTGTATATGTATTGCTGAATATGACAGCAGCTGTGACGTTGACATTCACAAAGCCGAATGTAAGTTAGACATTTCCCTTCTGAACAGAGTGTTCCAGCGTTTCAATAAAAACACTTCAATTCAGATTGAAACGTCACATAAACGCGATAAACAAGCTGGCAAACGCTGGAATGTTTTTTTGGGATTATGGCAATGCTTTCTTGTTAGAAGCAAAGAGAGCTGGGGCCGATGTTTTGAAATCAGGTTGCGGCGATGAATTCAAATATCCTTCATATGTGCAGCATATAATGGGGTAACTTTTAATATATAACCGTTTATTATTAGTATATATGTTAAGTCCAAGAATAAATAGGCTATTAAATTTAATAGGCGTTGCATCTTTTCTTTTATTCGTTAAATTTTAATGTTTAGTGACATATTTTCTCTCGGATTCGGGCCGTTCCGCTGGGTGTGTACTTCTGGCAACGACGCAGATCTTGAACTTACCGACAAACTAGCGGCGGAAGTAATCGAAACTTTGATGAAAGAGGTGGGCAAGACTTTTTCATATGATGGCTGGAGTAAAGTATATTTTCTTGAAAATATGTTAGAAACTAATTTCACTGCTGGCAAGAGATGCACTGCCATAACTGTTGCGGAGGATCGAGTAATTAACTCGAATAGAGTTGGAATCGAGTTAGCATTTATTAAAGACTATAATATCCTAAATAGAATGACTCGACTTTAGCTTTTCTATGAAACGTTGACGAATAGATGTGCGGGTCTAAACTTGACATGGAGCAGTCAAAAAAATTTTTGGTGCTCATGAAGGACGTTGGGACGATTTCGATGGGGCACCTTTCGCCAGTGTTTCACCCCATTGAGTGCTTAGATGCATAGACATGCGTTATGTTTTGTGTAATATTGAGCTTTCCTCTGGCCCGAATTTGAAATATATAAATCAATATTCAAAAATATTTTTTCAGAGTGTACTCGCAGAGTACATTATTTGCTTTCGGTCGAAATTAGACATTTCAATTGTTGATATATTTGTTGGATTTGTTGAACACAGTGAATAGTTTAGTGATTGTAAAAAATTACACTTTCGTGTAACACTATAAAATAAGTAATAGTATATTCTTTGAACAAAGATCTGTTGTCGAGAAAGTAAAAATGTGTGAATCATCTTCCGGCTGGCCACAAACCTATTAAAAATTGCTAGAGTTATTGATAAACTTAGTTTCATTTGTGAATGATGCTTCTATTGGGTGGTGTTTTTCATTCATAGTGAAAGTGTCTATTTTTGCGGAAAGATTTTTCGCTTTGCTTGTAGTTTTCCCTTGCAATAAATAGTTAATTTATGTGCAACAATAATGGGCCACGAAAGAGAAAAGGTTGAAAACCACTGTAATTAGTCGCTTAATGAAAACTACATTTATCCTCTTTGGTATTCCTGTAATGAATGTGCGGGGTATAGCCTGTAGGGCTGAACAAAAATAGTAACAAAAATGTGCCAACGTTCCACACTTTCCCCTCTAATAGAAATATAATAATGGACATTTGTTCAGAATCCTCCTGCAAAAGTTCTCAATCAATACAAAGATAATCTTCGATGGATCAGGGAGGCTGGTAGACATAAAATGGTTGTAGGATCACGTGCAAGGATTCTTTATTCTGACCACAGAGGTCGAGTTTCCATAGCAAAGGCCTTTAATGAGGTAGGCTTGAATACAGATTACAATAAAACATTTATATTAATAACAGAGTGAAATTCAGACCAAAATATGTATGCAGTAGAAGCAAATTCACAACATATTTTTATTTTTTTATGGTAAAACAGACGTTTTCATAGTTAAGCCATGCACTTGCATGTATTGGATGATTCTCATACTAATGTTGAGATTATATTTTCTTTGAAAAATTCACACACATCATCGGATTAAACTGACTTACTGTTGTTGCTTCTATTATATTACTAACCGAAACGAACATTTCTACTATTTCAAAGGCAGTAAGCGACGGTCGTCTCTCTGCTGAAGTTGTCATAAGTAGAGATCATCATGACGTCAGTGGTACCGACAGTCCATTCCGAGAAACGTCAAATATATACGACGGATCATGTTTTTGTGCAGGTGAGGGTTTCGACCTTGCAAGCCAAAATAATTTTGCCATAAGGGATCGGAAATATCATATATTTTGCACGTTATATTCATAACTTGAAGTTGAGCTCATAATTGAAGTAATTGCTTTAGCGGTTTTGAGAAACCGACGAGGCGCGCAGGCTACTTTCTAAATCTAGTTTGACTGTTTTATCCTTCCGCCATAAAGACTTTCAATTTGAAACGTTTCAGATATTTGAACGTAGTTCCTGAGTATAAACTTTTTATTATATTTTAGATATGGCTGTTCAGAACTGCATTGGCGGCTCCTTTCGTGGGGCGACGTGGGTTGCACTTCATAATGGCGGAGGCGTGGGTTGGGGAGAGGTTATCAATGGTGGATTCGGTTTAGTGCTCGATGGCTCTGAAGAAGCCAAGATGAAAGCTGAACTCATGTTAAATTGGGATGTTAACAACGGAGTACGTAAATATGTAACATTTTTTGTTATTTAGGTCATGATCATATTGAGATTTGGGACAGAATTTTCATATCCATTCCGTAGGATAGAATGCCGATAACACGGATCATTCGTGTGGAAAACCTCAACTTCTTTTTTCGAGAAACTATAACTTAAAAATCGCTTGGTCAAAAACATATTTCTGGAAATTTAATTCGTCAAGTTGGATCTAAATATATAGTTAAAAATTTCGAAATACCTATTTAGTTGTTCACGATCTTAATTCGAATTGGGAGTAAATAGGGTTCCTGTTGATTATGGAGCTATAGTCGTACTCGTAACCAGGCCGTGTTACCATGCTTCGCTCTGCATGCTAGAGAAAATTTCAGACATTGAAGTTGTCGCTATCTGGTTTGCTTTGTGATGTGAGATAACTATGTGTTGCTAGATCATGTCATTAAAAAACCGAAAAAATAGCTTGAAATTTAATTTGACTCCGTATAAAGAAATATAAAAATATAGAGTCCAACTCCCAAGAAGAGTGAAGAGAAATATCAGAGATAGCAAATATGGACACATGATACAAAAGCGAAACACTGTCATTCTTCACTAAAGTTATGTGAGATTGGGTCCAATCTGCTGCTATATTACTGAAAAACCTGCTTTACCAAATAAATTTTATTTTATGTCAATTACATTTGAAAATATCGAGATAGTCATTTCTAAAATAGTCATTTAGTCAAACAATTTTTCAGGTGGCGAGAAGGTCATGGTCTGGAAACTCAAATGCCTTTAACACGATCAAATTGGCAATGACCCAAAACAGGAACTTAAAAGTCACACTGCCGCATGACGTCGTTGATGATGAAATTTTGAAGACCGCTTTCACAAAATTACATGGTTAAAATAAATATTTTCGCAGAAATATTTTTTCTGTTCTATTGTCAGTCTCTATTGGTGTGATTAATATTAAGGATATTAAGGATTAAAATGATATATATTATGTTTCGACTGTGATCACCACCCATATATAGTCTTGTAGCCATAGCCTTACCCTCCTAGTTGCTATGAGTTTAAAGACTGAGAAAAGCGAATAATATTTTTATAATAACTAGATTTGTATCAACTTGTGCCGAAAACCACAATACACGCTAATTCGCGCGATAGCAGGGTGTTATATATATACATGTGTAACAAACTATATCCATACTAACGAATTTTATTATTCTTTCAAAAATATCATTTGGTGTTGGTATTCAAATATATATATAGATTCCTGCATTTTTTTCTCAATCCATTTCTGCTGGAAACATGCGCATCAGATTATGTTAACCAATACTGTTTTGAATATTCACACTTAAACTATACTAATTTTCCTGAAACTGTCTGAACATAATAATGATGACCCAAAAACCCAAAAACGTAATTGTTTTGGATATATATTTTGCGTAATCATTTTACATAGCAACCACTTTGTCATGATGAAGTATCACACCAATATATATATATTATTCTCCCAGAAGGCAAAGATGATATTGTAACTTGACGATATGAATGACTTGAAATATAGGCTAATTTTCTGAGCCGACCGGATAATCTCTGGTTACAGAGTACGGGACAGTCATGAATGAAAATAGCTAAATGGAGGAAAATAGAAACCAGCAGTGTAAGTTACTATTATATACACTTACGAAACGTCGAAAAGGAGTAATCGGTTATGACGGCTCGGGGTTGTTTACTATTTTCTTCACATTAATCCATTTATAAAGGATAAATCGATACAATTTAAGTTTGTGAACGCGTGCTGTAAGCCTGCAACTAACATTGACATTGGTCCATAATCACACACGGACAGATACACATCTTGTTGAACTAATTGGATAGGATTCTCATATTTATCCCGGGGTAAAAGAAAGCCGACTCAATCAGCTAGGCCAAGGCTACTCAACTGGCGGACCGCGGTCCGAATCCGGACCTTTTGGGTATTCGATCGGACCGCAACTAATTCTTTATTTTGGATCATTAGCCCCACTTTTGAAGTTTCCTTTTATGAAAACACTTTTATAGGTTTAAATATATATGAAAAGAACTCTAACGCCATAATAAACAATCTTATATAGCTAATAACCATTAGTCTGTCGAGGAAGTGCGTGTTTAAAAATAATTTCTGGAAAGTCCGGACCCAAATATTTTTGAAGTTTTGGATGCGGATCTTCGATAAAAATAGTTGAGTAGCCCTGAGCTAGGCTACCAGTCTATGACGGGTATGGGATTAGTCAGTCAGGTATTTGTTTCAGATGAACGGACTCGATAATTTATAACGTTTCACAAATAAATAAACAATATGTAGGCAAAAGATTATATATATATACTTTTCAAATACCTTCTGATCCAAAGGAGAGGAGAGTCAATAAGACCATTTAGTCTAATGGCAAACCAACAATAACAATTCCTCGACCTCACAAATGAGACGACGAAAACCATGAGTGACCAAGTACGAGGTGGGCAAGGCTTCAGATACGAGATCTTTCCTCCTTCAGATAAAAAAAAAATTGAAAAGAAAAATCTTTTATCTTTCTGTTGAAACTTTCTTGATATATGGCTTCAAAGAAATATGTTAGGACTTAACAACCAGCTGAGCTCTCAACCTCAACCAAATTTGAGCAGATTTACGATTCTTGTGATTGTACCTTTTAGTTTTTATATTTTGATCAACAGCGTGCCAAAGACAATACACCAAGCCTGTTCAGTGATTTTATCGCATGTACGGTTTTCGCGAGGTCAAATAAATATCTTGTCTTTTAAAATATGGTTCTTGGAGATTACTACAGACATAGTTTCCATATTTTGAAAGTGTCTTTGTCGCAAAACGATGAAATCATGAATATATATGAATGAGTCAGGATGATTGATTTTTAGTGATAGCCTACATGCCGATACCAAACGTACTCTTATTACGTCTTAATAGGAGTTTCTTCTGGTACTGCACTTATCCATTCTATGTTAAATGTAATGCACCGATCTTCTGATTAGGATATTCAACGTAGACGCCAAAATATATTATACAATGTCTGATGTATTAAGATATCGCTGTATTACTTGCTCTATGCAATGGCGAGGGCATCCAGTGTGAAATGTGTGAGTCCAAGACAAATGCTTCCTGTCATGGAGAACAACCAAAAGTCATGAAAGTACCTAAGTGGAAATAAGAAAGGCCCTTTCATGTGCAAGATGCTTATGCCCGAATCAAAAGTTCATTACCACATGGCATTACGAATGTTGGCAGATTGGCGTTCCTTGTCCAAATCTTGTCAAACATGGTCTAATCAAGAAATTTAGATTCAAATTCATGAATATCGATATACTACCCAAAATTGATGTGCTTTTCATCAGTCGGCCCCACTTTTAAGTAAGATGTCCCAAAAGAACATTTTGTGAAGTCATCTGGAACAAAGTTTTATGAAAATTGTATGCCGGAAACGTATGAAAATATCGTGACAAACATGTCCCAAACATGCTTTTTACACAAAAATTCACGAATATCAGTATTCCACCGGATATTCTGTACTTTCCAACAGATGGCCGCACTTTTAAGTACGATATCCTAAAATACCATATCTTTTTTTAAATTTTGATTTGAGATAACTTCCCAACATGTTCTTTTAGGATATCTTACCTAAAAGGGAGCTATCGGAAGGTACAGAATTTTTGGTTGGAATACAGAATGCGCCTAACGTTCGACATAAATCTGGCAACCGCAACTTTCCTATTTTCCGTCGCGCGTTCTATTTTTTGCCGCCGTACATCGTTTGTTTTTTTGTCAAACCTAGTTCTGCAGTTTGCTGTTCCGAAAACCACAGAGATGTAATTTTGTCTGTTGCTAGTGCTGTAGTGTAACTTTGGGCCTGGTCCTATTTTGCGAGAAAGTTCTAGTAGGGTACCCACTACCAAGTAGGTCAGCTAGGTTTCGTACAGTCTGATAGTGCAGCCGGGTGAAGTGAACTGAAATATTTCAGTTTTACACCACTGTCGAATCATGAAATAGGAATGAAAAGGATCAGTAACGATTATCAGTACAGATTAATTTGGAACTTCAGTAAAAATGTATCACATAACAAAAATTTTAATTCTGGAAAGTATGTATGTTGTGTGTATGACAAAAAATTGTACGGTATATAGGAATGGTTTCAGAGGTGGATGACGCCCAAGGTGATTTAAATTTCCTTCATCCAGCTGGACCTGCAGTTTCATTTTACTGGCCTAGCAATAATGATAGATGCTGGATTTCATTTGAAAACATGCTCTGCACAATAGAGTGTCCTATATTACAAACAACTAGGGGACAGTATCAAATAAGGACAATCGTCTTCCTTAATATCGACTGTTTAGCATGAAAGATTCGCATAAAGAATTACCCAACAGCGCAGAGAATAATTTAAAGGTTCTATACTGTTTTCAAAGTTATTTTCATGCATTTTGAGCTGGTTGCTGGTGGAGGAAGCAAGACTTGTGTATTACTAATGCTGTAATGGTAAATTCTTCATTCTTCTGTTAAAATTTTGTTTTATAATGTTTATTAAATCATATTATTGGATGTTAATGAAACATGTTTGTTTCCTAAGCCTAGCAGTTATTTTGGTTATTTCTTTTTCATATTCCCAACTTTTTGTAATTCTTAATAAATTATTGCCTGTTTTTAAGTGTTAGTTAATAAAAAAACTATGTTCTGTTTCAATTGTTTGGGCACCTGATTCATAAATGTGTGATGTTTATTGTGTTATCAGCTCTCACCATTATGATGTTGTAGAGCAGGGGTCTCAAACTCAATTTACCTTAGTGAGACCGGGCCGCATCCGGTTTTCCACAATAAAAGCATTAAACTTAAAAAGTTAAATCGTTTTCTCTGTTTTTCTATACGCTAAACATGTCAAAAACATAAATGTAAGTAATTCCGCGATGGACCTTTCCCCGACCATCCACTTCCTTGTTTATTCCGTAACATGGGCTAATCAGCAAGACGCAAAAAGTGACGTAACAATAGACTTTTTCGCAAACGCTCAGACACTTGACACTTTCAGGCATGTTTGTAAACATTACCTTGTTTTTGCATGCTATTTTTTAGTTTTGGGTTGTGTTTTGGGATTCAAGGATGAATCAAAGAACTCAGTGATCATTCTGAATGCTTGGGCGTCGTAGCTTAATTGCAGTAATCAAAAATTAGTCTAGAAATAGCTGTGATAGACTAGATCGAATATCATGCCTACAGGTACGGTACTAGTAGGTTACCGTACCGCATATTCCTTTCGGGGGATAGAATATAAAATATTTTGTTTTTCCCTACTTGTCCTGATCATATATCAAATGCATCAATCATTCTAACTGAGCTGAGAGACTTACGGGCCGCACTAACATTAAACTTTCATAACAAGGCGGGGGCCGCAAACTATCGTCCTACGGGCCGCAATTGGCCCGGGGGCCGCGAGTTTGAGACCCCTGTTGTAGAGGAAAATCTTATTTTATATAGGATTTTGGCCCAGATTTTGAACAAGACTTTGACAGAGCAAAAATAGTTTCTTTTTTTTAAAATACACATATATTTCCTATTCTATATTCTTTGTATTTAGTAATTTAGGACAGTTTTATTTTAATAATTGTTATTTGCACTAATACAGTAGGGCACAGTTCTCCGATTCCAAGATGTCCCGACATTTAGTTCGATAAAACAAATGACTATTTGTCTCTGAAACGAGGGCGTCTGGCACCTGGGCAGATGCGCAAGATCGTGCCATGCTTGTCTCTATAATAATCTAAATATCTGATCGTGGCTGCCACATGACCCAAATTGCGTTTTTTGCTAAAAACTCTCCAATGCTTATAATTGATGTCTTTTAATAATATGGGGGCTATTCTTGGAATCTAAGAACAGTGCCGTGTAAATATACAGTAATATACATTATACATCGACTTCTACAGCTTGGTGTTGAATATATTTGATATCTCATGTTAGTCAGTATATTCCGAATCAGAATAGTGGATTTTCAGTTTTAATCATCTTTGTAACTTACCAAGGAATTTTCAAGTATTTAGCTCAAAAATAAACTTCTTTTCCGAAGATAATTATTCTCTTTTGAAAACAGGAGTATGAATTAGTTTGACAGTGGTTAACCTTGCGTGGATCGTCATAAAATTTAGGATTCTCTCATTATGTAACATGATATATATTAAGTGAAACTGCCATTGTGAAGTCTTTCTATAAAAAGGAGCCAACCTACAATGGAGTCGAACAAGTCGTCTCGGTTTTCATCTGACCCAAGGTCTGTACCCCCAAAAAGAATAAGTCACTATAGCAACCAGCCAGTTCCACGGCGTTTGTCTCAAAACAGGGACAGTCGAAATGAATTGGATAGTGGAAAATCAAAGAAAAAGAATGCAGAAGATGATGACAGTGATTTAGAATATTATAACTTTGAGAAACTGAAAAAATTTCACATACCAAGAAAAGGGGGCCAAGAAGAAAAAGGTAAAAAACAGATCGGAATAAGTTATTAATTTCATTTTGTCAAAATTCTCATATGTTAATCTGATTCACGGATATAAAAAGTTAGGGATCAGAGATTGAAATGCTCCGCTGGTCATGTACCGGTATATTTTAATATAAGTCTATGGAATTATAATTTCAGTTAGCAGATTGTGTAAATTCCTATTACATTGATTTGCGGCGATTCCTAATGTGATTTATTTGAAGCACTAATATTTGTTTTGTTTATTGCTATTTAAAATTCAGGATTTTTTTTATGTTTTGTAATTCGTATTTTTAGAACTTCTTTGCGAACTATCTCTCTCATCAAGAGAATATATTCACACGATATATCCATCTGTTCGGTCATCATTTTTCGATACTCAAGCACACAGGAAACTAATAATCAGTTCCCTCGAATTGGTACAGAATCCAAGGCTAGAGAAAGAGGTGTGAATTTACTTAAGCATAGTTTGTTTTCTATTGAATATACTTCATTGAATTAGCATAACTTGCCTGATGCAGATTTCCCATACTTAATTCAGAGGTAAAACTAATATATATAATGAAGCATTTTTTGTAATAAATTTACTTTTTGCCGAGTTGCGCAGATGTTTGCAATGGTAACTTATTTTAAATTTTTTTGTGATTATGTTTTATCTTATTAGTATTTAGCCAAAAAGAAAGAATTAAAAGATGAAGGAAGATCTGAGAAAGATTTGGGAGATTCATTTGGTTTTATTCATCGATTCAAACGCAGTGAGGTTGGTGTTCATAGAAATTCCTTTAACTTGTGATTTATTTTCTTCCTTTGTCTCACGGTTAACAATATTTTTCATCATGAAATGGCCCCAACAGCAAGCAGATGCAATGTTATAAATTTTCAGCAATTCATAAATTATATCATGACTCATCATGAGATTACTTTGTAATTTTGTAATATTGTAATTTTTCCCACAATCCAGGTTGAGAAAATCTGCAAGGAAGGATTGCTCGTTGGCCATTGTAACCTGACAAGTCTGGGTAAACCTACAATGGGTGTTTATGTATGTAAACATGCTGATGTTGTCAGATTTTCAAAATGGGAGGAAAGGCAGACGGGATATATCGTTATGTTTAAAATTATTAAGGTATTGTGTAATGTTATTTATATGCGATTTACATTATTCAGTACAGGATTTATGATGGTATCGTTTAACCATCTAACAAAATGCTAGAATAATTCGTGGAGGATTACTACCAAAGTGGCTAACTAAACTTGCAGGAACGCTTGCTATTTGAATATCTATACCATGTGACCTGTACCACTCTTATTGGACACCGAACTTGTGTATTGCTAAGATCATTGCAATAATTTACAACGATGTATTACAACTTGATTTCATCAAATTTTGTTTTTATGAAAATTGATTAATCACTGGCTTCTGAGAGCAATAAATCCCAAAAATGTACTTGTTTACCACTCACTGTATATTTTCACATTGAGGTACTGAATTATGTTATTATATTGAGAATCATTCGCTTGAAAGAAGTGCCGTATAATCCTAGAGTGCCCCTACTCTTTTCTCCTACTAGAGACGAATTTATAAATTAAACACTCAGAAAGTCTTCGTTTTATTGCTATTTGTTTAATTAAAGTTTGTTTAGTAAAAAGTCAACAATTTTTATCCCAATGCCCTATTGATTTACAGGGTAAAATGAAATGTGTGACAGAATGCAGATCACCACAGACTGATCAAGAGCCGACACCTTTATATGATTGTCATATCACAAGACTTCCAATTGATGTTGCACAAAGTGTTCCTACTCGAGCATATTCAGCTTTTCAGGTAGTTCATCTCTTGATTTATTCTTTGTTGTATTTTTGAAGTTTCTCCTGTTCTTCCCATTTTGTCCACCCTGCAATACGTATAATAAGGAGTTTCTTATCTTATTTTATATTACAACTATTTGTAAACTGCAGATTTTAATTTCAATTATCCAAAATTTATATTATTATATACCACACGAAAACCTGCGCCACTTTTTAATTCAATAAAATTCTTCCATTCTGCATACTTAAACGGTGCAACATTTATTTTTCGAGTTCTATTCACTTCCAATTATTTATTTTTTTATTTATTTCCAAGTTTTGAATCAGCTAGCAACTAGCTGATGCGTCATTCTAGAATCATGCTATGATTACATACATATTTCAAGTAAAAATTCAAAATTATTTTCATTCAATTCCACAGTACTATTTTTATGAATATGGAGATGTCGATGTTGTTAAACGGCCACGACAAGTTCTACCATATGCAGTATTGAAATATAATTACAACGATTCTCCATCTTCAAATATACCCAGCATCAGAACTGGACGAAGAGAAAGGTTGGTTTTCATGAAATAAGGATAATCAAACGAAAGAACAATCTAATTTTTAACAAAATGAAAAAGTTTCCAACTAAGGAACTGTACATTCTATTTTTTATCATAAAGTGTTTTTTTAACACAATTATTATATTACCATATTTACTTTATAAGGCAGTGGAACAATATTGAATGTAAGAATAATCACTCAGTTACAAGTTTTCCTGAGTATATTGATGTGTAGCTGTTTTTATACAGGTCCGACTTTATAAACTATACTCTTTCTAAGTTAAGTTCTGCGCCCAGATCCTTGCATGTATGCCTAGAAGACATAAGAGTAGAAGTCTGTGAATATGTATCTAAATATAAGAAGTCTGGGGCAATGGCATTCAAATATTTTACATCTACAGCTCTACAGAGGATGTAATTTTGGATGTGGGTGCTTCTAATTCATCTATTACTACAATCTCTTCATCTGATAGTTGTTTCCGTCATTGGAGAGGGAAACTTCTTGTAAAGAATGGAACCTTTTGTGCTGTGGAAATGAAATCTCACCTAGACACTGTGTTCAATGTTGCAAACATGTATGTCTGAATAATAAGCATTATATTAATTAATTCCTTTTTATTTGAGCTTTCATAAAAAGCATCAGTACTGTTATAAATGGTAGCAGCTTTAATGGACCCAAAGCAAGACATGGTTCAAAATAGATTTGAGTAGTAGTCACATGGTATCGGTTACTTGTTGATGTGATTTTAGATATTCTTTAGTAAAGAAAATTAAACATATATGTCGTTAAAAAAGAAATTGAATATATTGTCGATAGAATTTTCAATGAAAACTATTCTTATAATACTGAAAATTTATTGTTACAAGAAATCATAACTTGAACAGGTATGATCAGGCGCGCAGCCAGGATTTTCAAAAGGGGTGGGTTTCATAATCATAAATTCCCATTGCGGTCTGTAACAGTCTTCGCATTACGCGCTCGTTGAAGGGAAGTCTTTTCAGCGTATATTGATTATTCTTGTCGCGTGAAATATTCAATCTCTGACAACTACAAAATTCTAAAATGTCTTTTATATATTAGTTTAATTGTGTCCAACATAACTCGCGGTTGCTTCTTCTTACGTCAAAATTAAAACATTAGTTCTCTGAGATGCCACGGCGATCGGTGGACATAAAAATATGAGATAAACGGTGTATTAATTTAATTTTAATATGTATTTTTGGAATCTTGCCAACTCGTTATCGCCGTTAGAAAAATCTCAATAACTGATATAAAATCCCGAAAAGTACAATTTCATTTCGTACAATGAAAATGCATATGAAGTATATCGTTAAATCAAAAATACATATTCATCGCCGCGATTACGCCACTTGTTAAAAGAGCCGACGTTTACAACGTAAAATGATTTTTCTGTTGTGCAAAGTAATCAATTCGTGACCGATAAGGGCATATTTAAAATGTCTTGCTTTATTAATTTAATTGTCTTCAATTTAACCAGCATTTGCCTCGACAAAACAAAACAATTTTTTACAATTCACAATTTTAAAATACCTCGGCCATTTGCCGACATAAAAATAAAAATTTGTGGTAACTGCCGTCGCCTATCATATATTGTTTTGATCCGTATTTTTTCTATTTTGCAAATTCGACAAATTTGAGATGTGCTTGTAACATTGACTCCGTTCAATCGCAATGCTGACACTCCGATTATTTTTAAAGTTAAAACCTCCTGAAAAATCCGTAAATCTGCTGTAAATTCTCATGGAGTAAAATTTATTTCAGTACAATAAAAATTGATGGATATACTTCGGATTAATTATCTTATACGAGGTGTGGCTAAAAAGAAACGAGACTGACGTCACAGATTGCGCAACACGATTAACCATTGGTAATCAACACTTTTACAGTGTGGTGTAATATGTGTTCTTTGTTCAACAGCTTTTTTGACACAATATCGCAATTATTTTTGCTCTTTAGGAGCCATAGGTGAATGTGATTAATTGCTTGTTGAAAAAAAAATTGCCGTGCGAGATCTGATTGAGTTTTTTGGCGATAGGGGTTCAATTGCAGAATGACGATTGAGCAATGAATTAACATTAAATTTTGTGTCAAACTTGGAAAAACGGCGACTGCGACTTTGAAGAAATTGTGTGATGTTTATGGAGATTCTTCCATGTCCAGAACAAGAGTTTTTGAATGGCACAAGCGATTTGTGGGATGCAGGGAGGATGTGGAGGATGATTCGAAGTCAGGAAGGCCTTGCACTTCCACAACTGATACCAACATCGAAAAGGTATCAGTTGTGAGTTCAGTTGTGAAAGGCAGTTGATTCGCAGCGACCGTCGCTCAACAATTCGTGCATTGCGAAGTTGGAAAAGACAAAAAAAAACGGTTCGCACCAGTTTGGTTGACACTTTTGGCTTGTGAAAGGTGAGTGCCAAAATGGTGCCAAGGCTGTTGACTGAGGAGCAGAAAGCTCAACGATTAAATGTTGCCCAGTTGACATGCATTTTTCCAAGTTTGACACAAAATTTAATGTTAACTCTTTGCCCAATCGTCATTCTGCAATTGAACCCCCTATCGCCAAAAAACTCAATCAGATCTCGCACGGCAATTTTTTTTTCAACAAGCAATTAATCACATTCACCTACGACTCCTAAAGAGCAAAAATAATTGCGATATTGTGTCAAAAAAGCTGTTGAACAAAGAACACATATTACACCACACTGTAAAAGTGTTGATTACCAATGGTAAATCGTGTTGCGCAATCTGTGACGTCTGTCTCGTTTCTTTTTAGCCACACCTCGTATATCATCACAAACCAGGAAAAAATCGCGTTTTCAACCTTGTTTAATTAATGGTAACACGAAAATTTTCTACGACAATTTTAAAGTAATGGATAAAAGGCAAATCCCACCCACAATTAACCGTGTTTCGATTTTAGTGACGGTATGTTCCTAAACGACGACCAAACATAATGTTTGCCGTAGGCACACGAAATTTTGCGATTTTGCGACTAGAAAAGCGTTTTTAGACTGTCGCGGGACTCAACAAAACTTATATTGTTTACGGTTTTCCTTTAGTATTTTATAATGCCGCTTTTCAATCAAATTTAGATCGCGGTTTTACACCTTCTTTTGTCTTTATGCCTCGCCACCGATGAACGTATAATAACTCACAAATTCACAATTCCGTGCAAAGTACAAAAATAAAATAATTATCATGTTTATCGTGGCACAAATTTATGATTTAAAAAGAATAAAAACTTTAAGAATAATAATAATAATAAGAATAAAAACTTGAGAATAAAAAATTTAAAAAGAAAAAAAAGAATAAAAAATTTATGATTTAAAAAGAATGAAAAAACCTAAATAACACGCTGATGAAAGCATGGGCGATTTTAGCGGAAGGCAATTGTACGCTTTTTCAGTTTTTACATTTCCGTGTGAGTACAAAAATAAAATAATTATCATTGTTCCCGCAGCACAAATTTGTGATTAAAAGAGAATAAACACCAATGTAAAGGGCGTTCACGGCATAAATAACATGACGCGTTGATGAAAAAGAACGGCGATTTTAGCAGAAGGCAATTGCACGTGTTATCGGCAACTTTTTCATTTTTCAGAAAATTCAAAAGGGCTGCGCCACTGGCTATGATTCTGCGACACCACAGTCCACAACTGTCCAGATTTTAGATTTTGTCATTTGTCCATTCCAGCTTCAAGCATATTTGCAATGGAGATGTAATATATAGAAAAAACTTATTGAATTAGTGTGTTGATCACACTAAAAACAAAAAAGATAAACAGTGTTGATGTACTACACAGTTTTGTAGGATTTAAGAAATAATATAACCTCTTTTTTGCAGTGGTCGTAGCATAAATATCAAAGCATGCATATCACTTGATAAACTCAAATGCCAGCTTCCTCCGACACTAATGAGCAAAAGTGCAAAAAAGTATAATGGTAAGTTGGTTGTTTGATCTATGATACATTGTGATTGTTGCTATACTTTGAGAACCATTAGTAATGAATACCTTGTATATGTAAAGGTTGTATCAACTCTTGATGTGTGAATGCTCATGTTGCTCTACCTATTCTACCTGATTTTTTTGAATTTCGTTTCGAAAAACTAATACTTTTTTCCAGTTATTTATCGGGGCCGATACTACAATACTTTTACTCTGCATCCAACGGAAGAAGGATCAGGACTTGGAAAATTTCGCCAACTGATTGGTCATCTCGTGCAACGGTCATCTGCTGCCTATGTCCCTTTGCGAAACAGCAGTTCTTTGTACTTGTTGCCATTATCTGCCCTAACAGAAGAGATGGGATTAAGAAGCTCATCGCCAGATGCTTCAACATCGTCTGACAAGCAAAAACAAAGTCAACGAGCATGGAAAAATTTTCTTCATGTTATAGTTATCACGCCTAAAGCACTGTCTACAAAAATGAGAGGCAGGTTTTTTATGTAGATGGTAATATATGATACATTTAATAAGTGCACACATGTAACGTTACAAAGAGGTAAAATATAAAATTGCACAACCTTGTGAAATTCATGTTTTATTTTACCCTCATTTTGGGGCGATTCGAAGTTAACAATATAATATTCAGTTTATGTCTCTGAACCTAGCGTTGATAATTTTTGCTACAATACTTGTTGAACAAAAAATCCTTGCATTCTTTGCTGCTAGGTCCGGGTATAGCTTTATGTAATTGCTTCAAATAGTTTGGACACTCTAAATAAACTGTCAAACACATCCTACAAGTATATTTATCTTAAAGATCAAAGGGTGAACAATGTCATTCAAAGTCGGAAGAGGAAGGAAGCTTCGTCAAACCTTGCCACATCCTCGATTCGAGATGCGTTAGAGCAGGAACTTGTGTCAATGAATATTGATCCTTCTTCAGCCCTGTCATCCATGGATCCGGAACAACACGAAAAAATATATAACCAGTTGAAGCATAAAAAGAAAATGCAGGTTGGTTGGGAAGTTAGGGTGACCATATTTCCAAACCTTAAAAGGAGGACACGTCGTTTGGTAGAACCTCATTTCTTTGCCTGAGATATACATTATATATATGCTGAATTCTCTAGGATTAAAAAAACATCCACAGAAGAATTAATTTATTTGTCATTAGACCATGAGTAATTGGCAGTTCCTTCGTGAATATTGTTGAGTTATTTTTTTCAATATCGTAGGACTGGCTCCAAGAAGTGTCAATCAAATTTAGTGGGTACAGAGAGAGAGATATTTATTTCGTCAACCAGAAAAAAACAGTCATAATAATAAATAAATAATAGCTATAAAAAAATACACTTTTTTCGGTATAGACTGGAAGAAGCGATACGACCATGCGGTCATCGAAGTCAGCCCCCTCCAAGTTTACGCTGATAAATTCACAGTAAAATATGACTATTAGAAATGGTTAAAGTTCATGAAACAAAATTTGAAAAAACAAACAAAAAAATGAAGTAAATAAAAGTAAATATTTTTTTTCCTGTGAAATCAATTTTTAAATGATGATATTTGTGAAATGAAACAGTTTGGGCAAATTTTTCAACTATTACACTATTATTTGAAAGTGAGGAGTAAGCCCCACAAATAAAAAACAATTTTGGCTATTGGACTACTATACTCAAATGTGAGCCAGCTTTACCTTAGCAGCAGACGCAAATAGGAAACAAACTCAAATGGTTCTTTCGGCCATTGTGGCTGCAGTCAAACAGTCAGGCAGTAGTTTATTTTATCACAAACAGAAAAACAGAAAATGCTTAAACTTTCGTCAGAGCATAAAAATATTTTTTAAATATTTGAACCTGGGAAAACCTTCTTCATTAGATTTCACGTACAAATGTTAGATCTGTAACTCTGGTGATGTTGTACACAATGAAACGTCATTCTAGCTCCAGCAACAGCAACCTTTTCTCCAATATGAGTTGCAGGCGCAAAATATAGTCGGTCTCTTTCGCTGATGATGATTCTTCTCTAACAGCTGTTTTATGCTTGAACTCTCAATGTGCTAAGCTAGCCGTTATTCGCCACAGAAACGAATGTGTCATAAACTCATAGCCGTATGTAATGCACTTCACTATCAGTTTACCTTTTCTGAAGCATGGATACTTTTTCCTTGTTCCTGAGTGATAAAGATATTTCTTTCCGGGAAAATTTATTGGGTCTGCTGACGTAATTTTCTGCCAAAATCGAAACTTTACTATATTGTGAAATACAACGTGAAATGATGTAAAAAATAATTGCAGAACAAAACGATTTTTACGTTATAAACGAGTATGCATTTAATAAGAGTGTGTATTCTATCACAACGCAATGCATTGCTTGTCATAGCCTATGTATAATGATATTACAAGTCTCTACTTACTTCAAAATTATCTTACCATATCAGAAGATATAATTTTAAATATTTTATCTTGTGAAAAAGTAGGACATTTTGACATTTTAGAGCGTCCTCGGAGGACGCAATTTTTCTAACGAAAAAGGAGGACTTATGGTCACCCTAGGAAGAGTTTTCTATTTATACAGCTTTATCACAGGGGTCGGCAACCTTTTGTCGCTCGTGGGTCAAAATTAAGGGTTGCAAGTCATTGGCGGGTCGCGCATATTTTTAGAAAGTTGAAAACCAAACGGATGATACTTTTTATTATAAAAATCAAGCAGTGATACTTCTCTAGAATAGAATATAGATTCATTTCCTCATTGCGCATCTCAAAAAATTCCATTTGAATATTTTCGGCGCAATTGAACCCTTTGAACTTGGCATCAACTTTTATTCGTTTTGTTGCCATTTGTCTAATTTTAATTAATTTATAGCAGGGGTGGGCACACCGCGGCTCGCCAAACTTTTTGTGCGGTTCTTCTCGCTAACATAAATTATTATCCGAATTTTAATTAAGAGAAAAACTTTTCGTCAATAATTAGGACAACTTATGTTTTAGTATGAAAATCGCGGTAGCGTTGAATTTTGAATTTAAGTCAGTCAAGTCAGCAAATCTTTCGTCACAATGGTCAATGTTTATTGATGCGTCGGCGGTATTGCAGCTTGATTGCGGTTAGTTAGTCTACTCTAAACTCTAAGTTACTGTGCGATATGTCCTCAATTAAAAACGAAAGTACGAGGATGAAAACAAAGTTGTCAAGTCAGAATGGGAAGAAGAATACGCATTTACCAGTCAGTAGAATAAACCTTTGTGGTTAATCTGTCATAAGCTACTAAGTCAAAATAAAGTCAGCAATGTTAAACGGCACCATGGAACGAATCATGAAAACCTTTTACGGGACTACCCTCGTAAATCAGCTATAAGAAAACACAAATTAAATGAGCTCAAATTGTGCATATATTTGAGTAGCCTTGTTTATCTATTTATTATTGTTATTAGACACTTGTGTGAATTTATTTTCTGTTTATAGTATTTTGATAATAATAATAAATTCACAAATTCTGCGGCTCTTTTAAAGTTCTGACTTGCAGCATGCGGCTCTAATACTAAAAAATTGTGCCCACCGCTGAATTATAGGCTCATTAAACGAGTAATTGACAATTTTATACTTTTCAGATTGTAATATAATTTATTCTACACGTGTCTCACACAATAAATTCTGTTAAATCCAGAGTAATGGATAAAAAGTCTTATCCTGCCCACAATTAACCGTGTTTTCGTTTTAGTGTTGATATGTTTCTAAACGTCGCCCCAAGACAATGTGTGCCGCATTCACACGAAATTTAGCGGTTTCCGATGCCTCGAAAAGCGTTTTAGACTGTCGCGGGCCTCAACAAAACTTATATTGTTCAGTTTTATTTTCAGTATTTTATATTGCCGCTTTTCAATCAAAACATTTGCGTCGCTGTCGCCGGTTTACTCCTTCATTTGTCTTTAGCATCTCTCTGCCGATGAACGTATAATAATAACTCTCGCCAGATTTTCAATTCCATGTGAGTACATAAATAAAATAATTATCATCGATATAGTGGCACAGATTTTTGATTTAGAGAGAATAAACACCAACGTAAAGGCGTTACGGCCTTAATAACACGTCACGCTGATGAAAACAATTGGCGATTTTAGCAACATGCAATTGTACACGTTATTGGCGGCTTTTCAGTTTTTAAATTTTTTTAAAAGGGTGGGGGGAGGGAGGGTTTCCACCCCGAAACAGCCCCCCCCTGGTTGCGCCATTGCCTACTACATACGGTTGTCTGTTATTGTTCATTGCAACAATTGATCTTTTTTTCTGTTTTTTGCCAAATTTAATTTTTCTATTAGACATCTGAGAAGATGCTACATGGATTTTATAAAGATATGGATGTAATTGTGCAATCAGCAAAAAGCCAATGGAGGAAGAATTTATCTACAAAATGGATGGATGTCAAAAAATCTCAACAAGAAATTTATTCAGGAAAGAAGAAATTGAAGGTAATTTTGGGTTGAAATTTTCACCAAATTAGTTTCATTTTTAATTCAATTTTATGATTTATGGTTTCCATGTGCAGTTATTTTGAATAAGGTTGCTTGCAAAGTTTGGTAAAGCATTAATTTCGTTCTGATGTCATTTAAATATAGAATTTTCCATTTCTTGTCGGAAAATGAATGTTTTTAGTTTGGGTAATTGCTTGGAAACGAATACTGGTTATCTCTATATGTTATAAGTTGTTTAATGGAAGTAGTCACTTTGTTAATTTAGACAGCCTCAAGTGCTCCAATCTCATTTTTTATTATTATTTAGATTATTCCTCCCTTTCCAAATATGAAACGAACTCGAAGCAAAGAACCCTCGCCCACGCGAACATATGCAGACAATACTGTGGAAGATCACACTGAAGCTACATTTAGTGATGATGATGACATAGAGCCTTCTTCACCCCTTACAGTAAAGCCTCCTACTACAGCATTCACATCATATAAAATACCAAAAAAACCAAGACTGGAAGATCCAAGAGGTATCCCTGTTATTTTTTGCTTAACACGATCCATGTACTTTTGCAATGATGTGCTTTGATACTACTTTTATGAGCGCTCCAGAGGTATTCGTACCAATTTGGAGGTAACTATTTTTGTTCGCCTACTTTAAATCACGTTGTGTAAAAAGACTGAAACCTATGGGCAGAGGGTATATTCACTTGGCTAACACAAACAGTTCCCGAACTCGTAATAGAACTAAAATAGGGAAAATCGGAATAAAATTATTGCCTAACCCTGCTACCCTTTTATGGAGTTGAAGCTGCGTTTTCAACATAAACTGAAGTCATAACGATCTTTGTACAAACATCTTGAGTTATGTACTGTATTGAATATTTGGTTTCAGTAGTTTCATCAATTACAAACATACCATTCGACACTGATGAAATCTCACCGATACCAGATTTGCGGGATATTCCTACACGACCGTTTCATTACACTCCATCACCAACATCTGCTTCCAAACAGAAGCCTCCAACTCAGGAAGGTAATTTTGGAAAATTCAAATCACAAGCTAAATTAGTTTTCTGTTGAATCACTAAATTTAATATTGCATTTTAAATGATCCGTCTAAACACAGAATTTTGACATTCCATGAACAGGGGATTTTTTATTTTTAGGTAAATCATCATCGTCTTCAATATTGCGTCCTGCATTCAAACCTCTTGAAGAACTCATTTTTACTGACAATTTAGAAGAACTGATGAAGCATCCTGAATTCAGGTAAATAATAAATGAATCATCGATCATTAAAGAAACTAAAATAATGGCAAAGGTATTGAATAAAACATGTATTGATATAAACAATGGAGCAATGCTCAAAAATATATATGCATGATATCAATACACATCAATACATTGTTAATGTAGAAACGCTAGAAGTATTATCTAAAGGGTGTAAAAGAACCGAGAATAAGTTTAAAAAGAAATAAAATCAATAGCCTTCTAAGTGACGCCTCTAACATAAACCAATGAAAATTTGCAAGCTATCAGTGATTGAAGTACTTTTTCCAATAACATCAATTTTTTTAAATGTTCCATGGTTCATTTTGTATCCAATTAGTAAAAAATACATATCCATATTTATAATAGCGATTTTCTCATAGAAAATAAAATACACTGACAATTCATGAATTTTCCATATTACATAGTGGCAACTTATAAATTTATTTCAATGCAGTTTTTCAGATGGCCACTGGGAAAATCACAAAGCGACAAGTGATATGTCTATATATGATGCAAACAGTCCTTATGTATCTTGGGAAAGTAATCAACAACGTATTTCAATCACATTTACTCATGATATACCTTATCCAATTGAGGTTGCAGATTGCCCATTTGCGTTTGAAATGGACCCATTAATATTATCAATGCTTCGTGCAATACATGGGTAAGATAATTTTTCTTCTGGTAATAATTTTGTACTGGTATATGTTTTTAGCTGCACATATTTAATATTGTAATATCGCTGGATGAGAACAGAATGGGCTTAAGTCACAAACTAATGTAGTTATGATTAATTTACATAAAACTGTTTTTGAATATTCATATATTACATAGAGACTTGATATTTAGATATGATCAATTATCGGTTAATTTGTTCACTTGTCACATCACACCTTAAAAGTTCCTTTTACCTGAAATAGAAATCTTTTATTTCAAAGATAGAAAATTTGGTTAATTTTATTGATGTTTGTTTGCAAATATTTTTATTCATTGGAGACCCGCTCTTCGTCCAAATAAATACATTTAGACTGACTGAGTCAGTATCTGTAACGGCTGATATCACAACTTACATCTGTTATTAACTAACATAATATGGTATAGATTCCTAATTTAACTCCAATAGCTTATGTGTTCAAACTGGAATTTCTGTTAATTTGATATAACAGTAAAGACTATACGAATATCTCTATTATGTTTTATTATCACTAATTATTAACGTTTGCAATTAATGTTACATAAGCGAAAACATGAAATAGATCGCCGTCGACGGTTAAAACACTAAAAAAATTTGATGCATCTAACTTATTATTGTTGATAGATGGATAAAGTTATAATAGGAAGCCTATTGTTTTTGAAATTGTTTTTAGATGGCCGCAACATTTATTATTACTTGGTTAAACTACTTTTCTCTTATTTATCTTTTAGACATAGAAAAACCATATGTTTTTATGGAGCAGGGTTTTGCGCCGGCTGATTCATTGCAACTTAATTCACATGATAAAATTCATGTAAAACATGCTATATTGCTAATAATGACATGCCCAATAAATCAATTCAGTTACATCATATGTTGAAACCCACTTTTCGAACGATATTGATATCTCAATACAAAATCTAGTTTTATTGTTGATGTTAAATACTTATATTAGGGTTCATTTATCAGGTAATTTGTTACATATCAATCGAGTATTAAAAAAAAAAAGTTTCGATTATATATTTTAAATCGAAAATGAAAATTTTGATAATCTATATAATATTCCAACTTTTTTTGGTTGTTTATGGTTTATTATATTTGTGGTAATTTGCACTAATGTGCAGTCTGCTGTGAATTATAGTTTCTTTTGCTCATATCAAAATTGAATGACTTCATTAAACTTTAGAATTATTCATTACGGTTGACATATTTGCAGAACCTACATGGCGTTTTATTGAATTTTGCGTCACAAAATTAATGATATTGTAAATTTTTGTTCAGTACCTATAATAGGGCAACAGATATTTCTCAAGATGAACATGAAAAGGTGAAGTGGGTACGAAGAGTTCTTCATACCAGAGGATCTCTATCAACAAATTTATCCAAGACTGCCAGCATCACAATGGAACAAGCCGATACCGCTCGGAGGATTGAACATATTGAGGAGAAAGCTTCACCATCCTTCATGGAAGCATCTCCTCATCAAAGTTCCACTGACAGTGGGTTTGTTTCGTCATCAGCTACAGCAACCCCAGCAAGTATTCCGGTTCCAGACAGTCCATCATTGAAGGACATTGCTGCAATATTAGCAAATGCCTTCACACAGTCAAAAACTGCCAATGTGACTCACCAGGTGCCAGAAACTACTAGGGTCTCAGAGAAGGAAGATCAAAATATGGAAGTTGCAGCAAAAGCATTGCTGGAGGTAAAGTTTATAATTACTTGTGTGTAAAGAAATTAGGCTTTATTTTGACTGCCTTGATTAGCAATTGTAGTGCTAATGGTAGTTTGTTTTCATCTGTTTTTATATTTTATTCTGCTCTGTATTGGAATGAATTGATCCAGCGTTTCTCAAACTGTGTGCCATGATAGATTCCCAGGTGCACTGAGGATCTTTTCAGAATTCTAGAAAATAAGCTATTTGTATTACACGTAAGCATGCGGGCAAGCTTATGAGACTTGAGTGTGAGTGTGCGGCAGGCGCTATAAATTAGATAATTTATAATATTATTGCATTTGCCTCGTCGATGTAGTAAAGGTGGCACGTTATAATAGTATTGGATTGTAATGTTATAATGTATTTGTAAAGAAGACATCCACCTTCTACCATGTTGACTTACGCGCTCAGTTGGGCTAACAGGGAAGCAAGTTTTGGCTATCAGCTTCAAGTCCTATTCAATCATCGGTGCAAAAGCCATCAAAATAATCTTGCCATTTCCATCTTCATGGGTCTGAGAACACGGATTTTCTGCTTTGACTGGAATCAAATGCAATAATTGGAAACAACTTCTCTGAATTGACGACGAAATGCGAGTGTGCTTGGCAACAACGGAACCATCTTATTTGTTCCTCAAAACATACACACCCACCTAATTGGATTTCATGGACGTCACATATGCATAATTATCGGAGTCCTGAACTGATACCCATATTTATTTCAAGAAAATGACCAATAAACTGACATTTTCGGTCGATCACAACGAAAAGTTTTTCCCAATTGTTACAGCAAATACGCCAAATGGCAATAGAACAGTATCAGTATAAATTTTGAAATCTTATGGAATAACTCGCAGTCTGACGCAGAGAATATTTTCTGATCTTGAGGTCATAACATTAAATTTTTGCTCTTCTATACGGCCTGCAGGTAATATAATCTGTAATTTTGTGAAAAAAAATTTTCAACTATTGAACCAATCAAATTTTTAGTAGTTGAAGATGGGGAGCGTTTCCTTTTTCCTGTTTTTTTTATTCGTTGTTATTTCATCCCATATTATTTTAAATTATGTCATATACGAGGTGTGGCTAAAAAGAAACGAGACTGACGTCACAGATTGCGCAACACGATTAACCATTGGTAATCAACACTTTTACAGTGTGGTGTAATATGTGTTCTTTGTTCAACAGCTTTTTTGACACAATATCGCAATTATTTTTGCTCTTTAGGAGCCATAGGTGAATGTGATTAATTGCTTGTTGAAAAAAAAATTGCCGTGCGAGATCTGATTGAGTTTTTTGGCGATAGGGGGTTCAATTGCAGAATGACGATTGAGCAATGAATTAACATTAAATTTTGTGTCAAACTTGGAAAAACGGCGACTGCGACTTTGAAGAAATTGTGTGATGTTTATGGAGATTCTTCCATGTCCAGAACAAGAGTTTTTGAATGGCACAAGCGATTTGTGGGATGCAGGGAGGATGTGGAGGATGATTCGAAGTCAGGAAGGCCTTGCACTTCCACAACTGATACCAACATCGAAAAGGTATCAGTTGTGAGTTCAGTTGTGAAAGGCAGTTGATTCGCAGCGACCGTCGCTCAACAATTCGCGTCATTGCGGAGTTGGAAAAGACAAAAAAAAAACGGTTCGCACCAGTTTGGTTGACACTTTTGGCTTGTGAAAGGTGAGTGCCAAAATGGTGCCAAGGCTGTTGACTGAGGAGCAGAAAGCTCAACGATTAAATGTTGCCCAGTTGACATGCATTTTTCCAAGTTTGACACAAAATTTAATGTTAACTCTTTGCCCAATCGTCATTCTGCAATTGAACCCCCTATCGCCAAAAAACTCAATCAGATCTCGCACGGCAATTTTTTTTTCAACAAGCAATTAATCACATTCACCTACGACTCCTAAAGAGCAAAAATAATTGCGATATTGTGTCAAAAAAGCTGTTGAACAAAGAACACATATTACACCACACAAAGTGTTGATTACCAATGGTTAATCGTGTTGCGCAATCTGTGACGTCAGTCTCGTTTCTTTTTAGCCACACCTCGTATTTGATTGTAATATTTATAATAGGCATATTGGATTTTTTTAAGGATAAAAAACTTTGCAATTCATTCATATATTCTTTGTAATATTTGAATATAATTTATTCGTATATTTTATTAATCATGGTATATATATGATGTTGCCCATCTCTTCATGCTATTTGGTGCATTTCTGCAGGAACTGTGGTGTAAATTAATAGATCAGCCTTTTATTACAAACATGTTAGAAAGGAATTTTACATACCATGGTTCACAAATAATAGAATTACATCTCCGTTGCAGAAATTCATAATTTTTGTTCTTCTAGGTATTTGCTGCGAAATCAACTGAAAAACAAGAAAAAGTGTCAAATGTGGGATTGCCTCAAGAAACAGATGATTTGGAAGGTGTTGACATGGAAATTGGATCTACTCCTGAACATTCTCCTTTACGTGAGGTGCGTGTCATTATATAACAATGAATCCATAACATTGAATGTTAATTTGAATCAGCAAACACTATATAAGGTAGTGTTACCAGGGTGAAGTTATTTTGTGGATTGTTCAGATATTTTACCATTCTTTTAAGCATATGCTATAGATCAGGGCTTCCCAAATTTTTGAGCTCGCGGCCCCTTTTAATATATTAAAATTTTCCGCGACCCTTGTTTGCGCTAATAATGCTAAACAGCTCGAAATACGCATTTTTGATGTTTTATTGACACAGGTAATTTTCAACTTTTAGTAGCACTACTCAATTACAAAAACAAGCACATATTTATTCAGATTAACGTTACTCAATTATTCAGTGTAATGGGTGAGAATACTTTTTGCGGCATAGCAAGTCCAGCCTTGGCTCAATGTTTGTTTATGCAGGCCTAAATGATGAATTACGATGTCTGGCCACCGACGGCATGGTCCTTTTCCGGAATTGTTCACTCTTATTGATCAAACTTAGCATAAGACAGCGGTTTGTGTGACGCCAAATTATTATGGAAAAAACTCATGACGCACCTACACGAAAAATATGCTGCCTGATAATAAAACACAATTTTTGTCCTCGTTAATATTTACTTATCTTATCTCTGCCTGGTTTTTCTTCAAATTGCTAAAAAAATCACTCATGTTTATCAAATGAATAAACTGCAGCCTACGAAATTGCAGCATGCAGGATACCCGACGTAACAGAGCGTACACAAGCCGGCATTGCTATGCATACACACTCAAATCGGGTCTTACGATCCGAATAAGAATTGTTATGCAAGCGCGGTGATTCTACTGTGTTTCCCCGAAAATAAAACCAAGCCAGAATTTTAGAAGTCATTTTGATATAAGCGCTACCCTTTAAAAAACACTTAGTCGATAGCGCAATTTTTTTTGACCTAATCGCGTGGAAGTGCGCCGTTTCAATTTTGCTAGGACGTCGCAATATTTCATGATTTGAACCGTTCAAACAACCCATAATTTCTACTTTTGCAGAAAAAAGGAAGAATATATCGATCTTACCTGTGATGGTGTTACAATAAAAAAAGTTTAATTCTGAAAATTCGGTTTTCTGTAGATAAAGATTATTTTTCTTGGTTCAAAAAGCGTTGCGGACTCCTATCCCCTTTGCGATTTCGTTTTTATATAAAGCAGACTTTTCTACCAAGATCCGTTAAATATGATTTTACTGACTGTCGTTATGTTTTGTTTGTTCCTTTATATGAAACTCATTGCAAAAAAAGTTTTTTATTGAAAGGTATCAATACGTATTTTCACGGGTAGTCGTAACTTGAGCATATTTTTGGAGGGCATCACAATACAATGAAGTTCGAGAACCACTAGTCCTAGAGTCCTAGTGTATAAAGGGAAATCTTTTCTACTTTTTAAATGGTTAATAATCTATATGTAGCAGTTATTTTCATATTTGGCATAATAAAAAATCTCGTTATTCTCTACATCCCCCCAAAATAAGCCCTAGTGTTATTTTTGAAATAAAATTGAAGACATAGTCTTATTTACACAGTATGATGATGTGTTCATTAGGAATCGTGAAATTTTTGTTCACAATATTTCTAATAATTGTATTTCGAATCAAGAGTCTGAAAAAGTACAATAGATATAGTACTTTGTGTAAAACTGGTGCTCTCTTTGCGGCCCCTAAAATTCGTTTCGCGGCCCCTAGTTTGGGAAGCTCGCTATAGATGATTGTGTCCAACAGTAACAAGGGCAAATCAGTACCAATGAAGGGCCAAATTTGACCTCAGAATCAGATTTCCAATAATGTAAAACCAAAATTTCTTTTCTGTCACATTGAGCCAGTCGTTTCATGATTGATTTTAGTTCAAAGTTCAAAATCAATTTATTGCAGAGAGAAAGGTCTAGATCTCGAGAACCATCTGTGACAAAAATCAAACAGCCTGGGGAACAGAACTTGAAATCTTCTCTTTTACGATCAGGATCGAGAACAACCTCCAATGAAACTACATCATCACAATCTCAAGGTCCAGCTTCCATGTATGAATGCTTTATTTTTCCAAATCGCATGGTTTGGTTTCCCAACTTCCAACTTCACTCTGTATTAAAAATGACTCTACGTCACACAATTTTAAGTCATTATGTGCTGTGGGAATACTTTCCAATAATTTCCAAAAAATACCACCAGCTCCAAAAAATTTGGAAAATACTTTAGCAGTAGCAGTGTTTGCTAGGAATCTCTCGTATCACAATTGAAAATTTTAATTTTCGCCACAAAATATTCCAATTTTATGGAAAGTCTGACAGTGTGAACTTGGAAGTTCCCAAATTTTGATGTAATATTCACTTTAAAAAATGGGAATATTGAAAATGTGCTCAGATCAAATTATCTGAAAATTTCTGTGAATCATTTTGCACATGGTACAAACTGATGCTAAATGCCATATTAAAGTTGTTAGTTATAAATACACCTTGTGATTACTCATTTTTTTCAATTTTTTTCAAATCATTGCAAAGCATGAAATTTCAAATAATCTGGATTTTATATATGCTTAGATTATATTTTAGTAGTTTTTTTTTGTGTGATTGGATTATTTGCGTAATATCAAATATGAGTATATTCGCAGATTGCACGGAAATATATATTTTAATGTGAATTTGCACATTGAAGTCTCACAATATATTACAATTTTAATATTACTATAAATTCCATATGACCTTTGACACGTAAGATCTGTGTATATTGTGATTCTTAAGCTAGAGATAAAGTGAATTTGTGCCCCCAAACGACCCATTGTTTCCACCAAAATTTCTATGCTAGAGGTTCATTTTACAACTTCACTTTTTGTGGATTTCTTTCCACCTAGCTGTTTCCCTGTTGGTCCCATCTATTTGTTGACCTATTTTATATACGGGTAGGCCTATATATACAGCAGTAGTGTTTTTTCTATCAGTACTGTTTCAATTTTTTGAGGTCTCCGAGCCTTAATTTAAGCGAATAAGAACTTAACTTTTTAGAATGATGTAGGCCTACCACATTTGTGCTGTATATACTTTTCATCAATATAAGTCGTAAATAAATAAGATATTTTAAGACTGTTAGAATATGTAATAAATTTATGTTTTTGAGTCACTGACTAAATCTTAGAAACTCTGTGGTTCACTGGTTTGTACTACTTTATTTGCACAATATTTGTGGAACACTGATTTGGTGACTATTAATAAACAACAACGATCTTTATAAACTGTTTCTATGATCCACCCATTGTGGAGTCTTTGATTTTTAAACGATTAGATATTTGAAACTTTCTTTGGAGTATTGTCAGAATTTTCATTTTGCTTATTGTAAATCTTCCAATATTTTACCCAGTGTATATAATATTGCAATGAAATGTTTTTTATAATTGTTGGTGAGTTAACTATTTTTTTGAACTTATAGATCATGTGGCAAATGGGAGCGGCCGATCACTCCTCCTCCATTCCCTCCCAACATCTCAAACATCGAAGACGACTATGAAGATGGCGAAATCAACGACTCTCCGCGAGGAAACATGCCTCAACATTCTTCGAAAAACTATACCAGGTCTCCCAAGAGAGTCTCTCCAGGACCTGTTGACTCATATAATCCCAGTCGTATCGAAGCTGATGGCAAAAACTCGAGGCGTGAGAAAGTTGAACATTGGAAGGGATCGTGGACCACAGACGATGCCCCCCCCATCATCGAAGAGCGGGTCAACTATTCATCAGCCATGGGCTTCTCTGAGCAAAATGGTAAACCCAGTGAAAAGCAACAGTGTCGCAGAGATGCCGAAGATGACTATTCATATAAAGACAGGTCACGGTACCGTAAGCAGAGTCCCGACTGCTGGGATATTGAATCAAGAGAAAGTGATAAGAGACACCAGTGGAGTCCAAAATATACAGAGGCTCGTCGGTCGCGAAAAGGTCACACCCACACTAATGAAGGGAACTGGAGACATGACATTGCAGATGACAGTAGGTCAAAAGAAATCAGGGAACGACTCCAGCAGAGTTGTGACTTCCCAGGAGAAGATTGGGTTGGAAAAAAATATAAACATGATGAGAGGCATTCCAGGACTGGACACCGTGAGTGGTCATCTAATGAACACAGGCACCGTCTCCACAGTGAATCTAGGCCTGAAGATGAATATACAAGAGAACCCGATATCCAACCCCTCCTTGCAAAATCAATCGAAAGATCGCGCGATGAAAGGTATGAACAACGATACCCCAAAAACGAAATCCGCCATCCTAGGCATTCCAGACACCCAGGGTTACTCGGAGAGCAGCCACCTGGGTTACTCGGTATCAGGCCAGACGATGATGAAGTCTGGTATTCCAATCAAAGAAACTACGCAGAGCATGCAGAATCCTCGATTCATTCGAACCAGATCAGCAGAGACATCCGAATGCAGCATAGGAACAATCATCACGCAGAGAGAATCCCAGTACCTATCAAAAGAGGCCGCCCCCTTCTCAGAGCACCTCAAGGCCACGCCTATAGACACAATAATAACTTCGCGAGAGCCCCAGCGCCGCAGATCCAGAGGATCCGACCTAGGCACCCTAACCCAGCTCAGTCCCGTTCGTGGAAAGGGCCCCTATTTCAAAGAAAGCCAGAGTGGGAAAATCATTCCCATCCCTCTCCGAGACCCCTTCTTGGACTCCGGCCACATGGTCACCCCATACTCCGGCCGAAGATACGGCCAGGTTGGAGATAACACTGGTGCTGGTGCTTCTGCCCAAACTGGCACAAACACCATAAGCGAGCAAAATTCTGAGTTACTTAGTTCTATTCTTTATTTTTTTAATCAAAATCAAGACCCTCGTCTTGTGACTGCAAGCCTTAGAAACATGCAAGATTATGATTTTTGCGCTAAAAGTTCGATAAGCCCACCCACATCTGTCTCTGCTAAATCTGTTACTCAAGTTCCCATGAGTGCTTCGTCATCCCAATATTCAGGTCAAATAGCCTCAATTCTTCAACAACTTGTTAATCCGGCTGCCATAACTTCTCTTGTTGCTGTATCTGAAAATAGTAAAGGGAATCTGAATTCAGAAGGCAATTCAGCATTGAAAGAACAACTTGCCATCACTACATCAACCACTATTGAGAAGTTCTCCTCTGATTCTAGAGAAAAAGTCACAAGTAGCGGAGTTACAAATGAAAATGTAGTTTACAAAGCTGCAGCGCCATCGCCTCTCAGCAGTCCCTCGGCAACTCTATCGCTTCAAGATATTCAGAGAATAAGGGAGAAAAAAGAGAGGTTGAAAGCACAAAAACGTGTAGAACAGGAACTAAGTCGACGTGAAGCAGCAAACATGAGAGATGAACTGAACAAATCCATTGCACATAAATTAAAAAAGCCTCACAGTAAGACAGCGAACTCCAATTCATATAAATCAAAGAAGCCCCACAGTACCAAATTGAAACCTAGCAAACGTAAGAGATCAGCAAGCCCTGAAAGTACAACTAGTTCGAACAGTAGTGAAGCAGCATCAACTGGAAAGACCAGAGTATCAGAAATAATGGTAAAAGAACATACAAAACCATTGAAACCTTCTTTTAGTTTGGATCAACCAGCCAGTACTCAAGTCCTCTCTGATGTTGCAATAGCGCTATCTGACAACAAAGCAGTAATTTCTTCAGCCTCGTCCATGCGACCCACTGGGGTAGTGACACCTACACCACGCCCTGTACATCCAGTTTTCATGCAATCGAAAAATTCATTTCCGCTTACAGAAGTTACATCTTCTCCTCGTAACACGACAACATCATTCGCAGAGTCTGAAGTAGCGGCTCCAAATCCTATTCAAGTCTTGTCAGAAATTGACAACACTCTATCACAATTGAAGCAAGGAATGCAGAGCAATGGAAATGAAAATGAGATGAAAGATAGAATGGCCAAACTTCTACAGCTTGTGCTAATGCTAGGTGGTGCTGCAGAAACAGATGCTGAGCCATCAATTTCTGGAACTATTGAGCAGCCGACCTCCAGCCAAGCTAACGAAGTTTCAAGTCGATCATCTAATTCTAACGATACATCTATATCACCTGATCAACAACACCTGGGTAATGTGATTGAGGCTCAGCCATTGTTTGAACCTGGTTCATCCTTTCTTCATGAAGTTAATCAAGGACCTTCCACATCCCAACATCCAACAGTATCTGAAGCTGTTGATTATCACTCTGCTGGATTTCGATGGACGTTGCATCATTTTGAAGATAGTCAATTGAATTATTCCAATTCTGTTCGTGTTTTGGACGAGCCAGCTGTCGCAGATCATCAAATTGTAGCTGGGATCACTCGAGAACATGATAATGTAATACGTGACTATATCAAACAATCTGAGAGTCTATCTCTGCCACGACAAGAACAAGAAAGCATTGATGAGATTCTGGCAAAACTGAGACCATTTATCCAGAAATTGAATAAGACCAATATGCTTTCCAAAGAACCCACGGCAGAAATGTCATGTGATAATAGTGAGAATTTAATAAAGCTTGGTGACAATAATGAACCAATAACTATGACAGACCACAGTGCAAGAATGCCGATTCTACCTGCTGAGTATGTGGCTAACGCATCACCCACAAATAATCATCTGCGACAGGCACCAGTTATCGCTGAATCGGTGGTACCTATGCAAATGACACAAGTTCATCATCAAAACTTGGTGCAGCCTGAACCCACACTGCCAACAGTTGCTTGTCCAATTGCGAATCCATTGGACCAACACACCTCATCCCAGAACTCTGAAGTGAGACCTTCGAAACTTAACATCGGTTCTACTTCAGATGTGTCTCAACATACAGCTGTTATTCCTCCACACACTGAAAATCTATCTCTGCATCATGGACCCCAGATTACTTCAACAATGGCACAACAAATGTCTTCTCAATCTGATGCTGTACATCAACAGAAACCAGACCATCTCTCTCTGGCACATCACTCTATGTCATTACAAGTTCAGTCTGGACATGATAATCCACCCCTCTCAAATCAACATCGCTTTTCTATGACATCGCCAAGCAGTCGGTCTGACAGTGGCACACCAACTATGGACGAGCGATACCCTGATCCTGTTAGACAGCAGCGTCGTCGCAAAAGACGTGGTGACCCATCACCATCTAATTCATTTTTGGTCTTTGATCCAGAGAATTCTGCTGAATGTGAAGCAATTCGAGCATATTTGGCTTCAGTGAAGGGAATTCAGTTTGATGTCAAGAAAATGAGTGAGAAATGGCATTCTAATATCAACAAACAAGTACTCGAGGGTAAAGCTGAATCTGTTGCCATACAGGAGGAAATTCGAAAAGTTTTGCCGCCAGGAACTATCTGGGTTGTATTTAGGTTAGTGAAAGTTTAATATTAGATTTATATCAGAATAACTTTTATTTTGTATTTGTATCAATTTCTTTCGAATCTTATGAGTATTTTTTGTCTCCATAACAATATTAGGGTGCTATTGCTGAATACTTGCTTTAACATCAGTTTTGTTTCGCAAGTTTTATCAGCTGGTATTTTGTCATTACCAAATCTTTATACAGTAGTTGTAATCTATATGTGCTTTGGCTTTGGTATCAATCAATCTCCAGCCCTGCCACCATCACTGTGATAATTATGTTGTATATTTTATGAGGCTCGTTATTCGCTTTTCTTTCTGTAGAACTGCTGACTTGAAACATCTTCATTTACTGAAACATCTATCGCTGCTTAAAAGTGCTGGATCACATGTTCAGTTTGTCTCTGCTGACAGTGTCAGAGATGTGAGAGCAAGACAATATAAGAATATTCTTACTGGTGATGGAGGTATACTGGTTCCACTTTGCCCAAAGACCCTACTCAGAAAACCGGGTATGTAGTATATAAGAGATGATTTATTCTGAACCATACAATTTATTGGAAAGATTATTATTCATAACTGAGGTCTCTGGAACTGCATATTGTTTGTTGATTTGAAATTGAATGTTCAACTTATCTGCAAGTGTATGAATTCGCTTGTTGTTGTGTACATTGTGATTGCTTTTGCATCTAGAGCTTCATTTTCCTATTGGAAATAGCCTGTGCTTTGGACAATGCTATGTAATAGTGAAAAATATAGAACAATAAAATGTAAAATGTAGTGTTTTTATAATGCAGTACTCAATTCTAATATTCAGTCACCTTCCGTCATCTCATGCTTTGGTTGATTGGACAAACTAGCGGCATCTCAAAGAATAAAAGCAAATGGAGGATGGTTTTACATCAACACTTGTTGGATGCACTGCAGGATGCTGAGTAAGTTGTCATATTTGTTTTTTTCATAAAAAAATGCATCAAGCGGACAAACAAAAGACTGCGTGATGCAAAAGGTAAGGCCTGATTAGCCTGTCACTAGCCACACGTGGAAACATCAAAAGAGGTTAATCGATCTCAAATAAAAGTCTTATTCAAGTTATCTCTGCACTACTCCGTTATTTTCAAATATTCAGAACACTCGAATACAGCATTGGAATTGCATTTTAGTGGCCAAAATTGATTGCATGACTTGTTCTGTGTATTTTTGAGGCTGCTAATAATACTAAAACTTCATGTGAATTTTCATGTTTGGTGTTTCAAATATCATAGTTTATCTGCTAATAGCAATTATTTCTTTGATTCAGGGAATCTGGAGACATGATAGAACGTCAGAATGCAGATCAAGTTGTAGATTTGTTATGTCATGCTAGTCAAGATACTACAAAACTGGCTGTGGAACTTGTAGAACACCATTGTGATAAAATTCCTTGTGTTGATGAGAAGACTCCTTCAGTTTGGAATTGGTATGACACAGCCAGTAATGAAGAACTATCTACACTGGCACTACCTTGTGCTACAAAACTACAATTGGACAGAATAAGGCAGTCCAGACATGTTGTATTGTTGATTGGTAAGTGTATCAAATTAATTTTAAACAATGTTGTTATATTAAATTTCAGATGTCTGGAATGATCAATTGACTGGGTATTGCGATATTCTAACCTGATAACAGAAAGGCTGTCTGACTTGTCACCATTCTTTTCCCTGGCTTTAAGACTGAAATAACAATTCAATATTAAAACAAATTTAACTACCAAGCTGATATAAGATTGTCCAATTATCTCAATCTATTATAGTAAGCCTTGTGAATGAGTTCTTTTCTTAACCTTCTCAATATTATTTTCTCACATGGAACTGTGAATAAAACTATCTATATATATATATTTACGGCTACGCTTTCATATCAAAATTTTGAAATAAGGGAAAAATTGTACTAATATATCTCATTTGGCAGATGATGATCCTTTAGCTCAATGCTGGAAACCGCTATGGCAACTTGGAATTTGTGTTTCTACTATGGAGAAGTTTGTTGATCTTGTCTGCTCAAAACCATCTGGTGCTGTGACTGATCAATCATTGAGTTGTGTGTTACCATTATATGGCCTTGCACATGAATTTTTATAAGGAAATCTTGGGAATTTTCGCCGCAAATTTTTGTTCTGTATCGCACATTCGTTCCAGGATTTGGTGCTTATTTTCTGTGTGATTAGTTGTTGGGCTCCCAATGGATTATGTTGGTAGATGCGTATATGTTTGACTGACATGGAATTACAGATCGAGTTTGAATCAAACCTATCGGTCTATTATTCTTTGATTGCTTTTTTAAAGTTTTTGATTGGGGTGATCAATTGCTAACTGACTGATTTCAGTTTTCCTCAACTTTTATTCCTAGACTTCTGTTGTGAAAATCAGTTCTTTATAGATCTAAATCTTTCATAGATGTAACTTCCTCTGTACCTAACTATAACAGCCCATGGCAACAACATCTGTGATGATGGAGGACCATTTGTTTCTATTCGGTTGATGTGTAATGTATTATGACAACCATGTCGAAATATTTGGTAGTCTGATTACCAGATTTCACAGTCTTGTGCCATATTTTGTTCATACTGTTGCAAGTTTTTTTTTTATGGTAAACTCGTTCAAGGGGCGACAGGTTATTGTTTGAATTTTCAATCACGTCATGCCTGTTAACAAGCCTTTACTAAAAAGTGGGTCACATTTTTCTCATGGTATGTGCTGTTTTAACACAACATAGCATGTTTCGTAATCTTGGCTTGCTGATGTGGTTTTCATATTCGTTGCCTATTCCTTTTGTGTGATTAACTTTTCATTGAACTTTTAAACATTTTTAATCTTGTCTTGAATCGTTAGTAGATGGATGGCAATCAGCAGTTTTAATTACAGTGTTACTATTTTGAAATCATTTACAAAATCAACTATTGTAGGAAAAATTCGATGGGAGGAATGGAAAGTTGTAGGATAGGCTGGTCACTATATTTTCTTAACCATCCATGTTACCATGTGATGAATTTTCGGTAACTGGAAGTAGGAGTACGATGCAGTACTGAACCTTGTGATGTCGATGGTGGCATTTTACTGTACTGTACTTCTATCTGGTTTCAATTAATTTCTCTGCTATATTTTCGTGGACTGGTATTAAAGCCCTTGCAGATGATGGTGGATACTCCATCAGGTCTAATCCCATCCCATGACCTGCTTGCAAGATTTTATCTTGAGAACGTGGGCGTCGTCTGTGATGTACACCTCCACTGGTTTTTTTTTGGACGTTTGCTATTGAAAGCCAAGCCAGCCAGTAGAAATGCACGCATTGTCAAACCGCCATGAAAACACAGGTTATATGCCATCGAAAGAAACTAGTCAAATCGCGATTTGGACCGTGGATGTACATGAATTGTCCATCTCTTGGTTATATAAAAAGTCTTTGAAGCTTTTTAGAACTAGAACGAATTAATATGAATTGGGAGTTGCGGATTAACCAATCACGTATGGTTAGAATCATTCTAAAGCATTGGTTTTCAAACTGGGCCCGCGAAACAATTCTAAGGGTACCGAGAAACAACTTTAACCTCTGCACAGAAGCACTTTGATTTGAAGTAAAATTTTGATGTCATGCTTTTACCGTGTTTCTCCAGCGCACGGCGCGCTCTACGGAGACATTTTTACGTAACAAACGTTGGTGAACGTGACAAGTACCGTGAATCAGAGCGTATTGTTTACGCAGGGCGTGTGCATCTGATTGTAAATTTTCTCCGGGTAATTTAAAAATGCCCCTCGCCATATAAATTTATATATATATAACTATTCATATGTGAGATTTGGTTTTGCTGTAATAAGTTTTAGAGGGAAAGAATAACCACAGTGGCACCGTCCTATCCGATGTCGCTAAGATTGCACTAAAAATGCTCGATCCATTTGCAACAACTTACGATTGTGAGGCAGCTTTTTCGACGTTACTCGCTATAAAAACAGAAAGGACGTAAGACTAGGGCTACCAACCGTCCGGAATGACCGGGACAGTCACGGAATCGACGTCGGGCGTCCCGGGCTGGGCTACGGTTGTCCCGAGATTTACTGACAACCAAGGCATTCTAAAATAGAAGGCCATGTAAGCTTCGTTCAAAATCAGAAACTGATGTAATTCACGCGCATATTTTTTTTTAAATAAAAACGATTGCATCTGTATGGGTCATTCAAATAGAAGTGAGTTGAATCTTGTAGATAAGACAAGTTCTTTGCCCTTCAGCATCCATACGATAGACTACACAACTGTTACGTCTTGTGCCATTTGTACTGTCAATTCCAGTGTCAAACGAATTGTGAAAGAGTGTTCAGTATTATGAATGCGCTTTGAACCAACAGTAGAAACTTTAATCTCGTCAAAGCTGAACTGAAGATAAAATTAAAATTTCATATGTCATGCAATGAGTTTATCAGCAAAGACAATGATCTTCTTAAAGCGGCAAAATCATAAGAAAAAATACAAATTTAAATATCAAAAAGACTGATTGTTTGTGTTTTTTGTTAAAAATTTAAATCTACTTATCACAAATTGTACATTTTCCCTGTTTCAGTGTTTTTTTTTTGCATTTAGGCTTCAAAGATTCAACTTTTCAACGAGTTTCTTTGATTATGATAAAATTATTTAGAGGCTTGGAGTTTGTGAAAGATACACTGAACGATCATCACTCTTTGACGCGCAGAGCGCACTGTTGATTTTGATGTCTTTCGTGTTTCACAAGCTTCTGTTGCATAGATTTTCAAATTCTAGATATTAAGGTGTCACGGAATGGTTTAACACTAAGTTTGCAACCCTACGTGAGACACTATATAGGAGTTGCATTATCCAAAACAGAACCCAAGGTAGAAGAACTAGTGGGAGCCAAGCAGGCGCACCCATTTTATTGAACTGTTCAATGTCATTCGATAGATGGATGCTTGATATACCGCGTTTCTATTCGCTTTCATTTTTTTACTGGACCGCGAGGCATCAGAAAAGGTCTGATCTTGAGGAAGTATGGCAATAAAGAAAGATTCATGCCTCCAGTCTCAATGTGATGAACATCGAAATACAAAAGGATACAAGTCACAACTGTAGTTTGAAATTTCACCGGTACCTCGTAGTCTACCTCAGGGCGGTCCAAGGTTGCTAGGTTGAAGGATCGCAAAAGCTTTTGGAGGGCCGCAAGTCGGAGAAAATTCAAAAGTGATCGAAATATCGCGAGTTTACTTACTTTAAATTTAATAAACAACGAGAGTTCACCGTTCTAATCAGACTGATATTATGTTGCATGGGTGGCGCTTTTAAATAAGATATATAAAGCCCTCAGTCATTTTAAAATTAATTTCCGAGAATTAATTACCGTTGTATTTTCCGCATCTCGCGTTTAATGTCGCTTCAAATTATATTCTTTCGTGACAAATATTACTTGAAATCAAACCAGACACTGTGTGATGGGCAAGGAAATACGTTTCCGCCGTGCTTTCTTTATGCCACCTTTCTTGTGACACTTATTTTATTACGAATTGTTGTATTCGAGTAATACAAACTTGCAGCGTGAGCAAGCTTAGTGCCATCATCAAATAACAATCAAGTCCGTCTAAGTTGCTATTTCAAGACCTAGCTAAAAACAAACTGGATTGCGCGGTGTTAAGTCGGCTCTGCGTTTTGTCACTACTGTCACATGGCCCACGCTTGAAACAAAGGAGTGATTTTAGGCTACTAAAATAAAGGCACAAAGTGTTAGATAAAAAAAGGGTTTGAATCTCGGGATCCCAACCCCAGTTGGAATAGCTAAAAAACTAAGAAACGTTCTGTTATTAGATACAAATATATGCTAAAATTATGGGCCGCACGAAATGTATCAGCATGACAGGGTTTGGACCACCCTGGGTCTGCTCTATTTTATCAAAAAGCTCCCGACTTCGCTGACCGCTAGATCGTTGAAATGCGATCGTGAAACCGCCACATAGTGCAAATAGTTCATTGGTCCAATTTTGTTAAAAAAAAAGAAATTTTTCAAAACAAAAATGCAGCAACAAGGAAAATACCATGGAGAAAAAAAAAAACAATTTAAGAAAACGACTCAAAAGCCCATTTCGTGTCCAATGAATAAGTTTCAGTGTTTATTTTTAAGAAAGAAGGTTAATATGATATTTGAAGACAAAAAATAAGCAAACAGTTTGAGTCGTCTGGTGAACTAGTAATATTTTAATAAACACCGATAAACTATGTAAAAATTCTGCTCTAAAATTTTCTGTGGTGCCCCTTTTCACTTGGTGCCCTAAGCACGGTGCCCTAGCGAGCGACGAATCGGGCTCGGAGGGAAATGTAAATTAGATACTGAAGTTTGTTTGAGCAGTCAAATTATTGTGACGAGAACTGAGCTTATTGGTAGCGGTGGAATTTTCTGTATGCAAGTGTGCAGTTATTTGCAAAATTAGCACCCATTTTTTATGTGTACGACCTTTTTACCGTTCAGTCGATAGCGAGCTATTTTGAGGATTTTGATCGATCGGGGTCGAAAGCAGGTTGGCCACCCCTGCTATAGAGCAAGTTTGATTGTTTCACATGCTACACAACACACTTTGTATTACTCGCATCAATGGTACTTGTAGTAAACTTACACCACTTGTATATATCGTTGCATTTGTACCGCATGTCATCATTCTATCTATCCAGGTGTCCCATTTGCACCGTCTGTACCACATCTACCATTTACTTTTTTTTATCCTAACCCATTTAGCATGTAGATGGGCAAAATATCGCAATGATTGGCAGTAAGTGCGCAAAACAACAGATGAATAAGGTGTGCATGGATAAATTTACCTATGAACGAGACATGGATGAAAAAAGCCTATGTCGAATGAAATGTATGTGGTAAAACAAGTGATACAATTACTAAATAAACTTGGCTATAACTACAATTTTATAGATTACGAAGATCCAAAACCACGATTCCTTGCGCCTGTGCGCAACAAAACGTCTGCATAAACTACCATAAATTGTTTAATGAAAGCGTTCAATTGCAACCTTGCATAATTTTGAGCACCAGGTTGCAAAGCAGTTCATAGTGCAATTGTTAAACTGTTAGCTTTGATTCGAGTGACAAGTCATTTATGATTTGAATCACAAATCTCGAATTACTTACTATGTTCTGGAATATATACTTGTTCGTGAAGCTAAAATATTAATCACTGTTAATATAGTTCGCAGACAAATATTTTATTCTGTCAGTCCCTTACGATACAAATGATAAATAAATATTATCGGAATACCGAAAATTTTGGCTTTTTGAAATATCGCCGTGTCGTATTCAGTACCGATATCGGCGATGAAAGCGGTACTAGCAGCCTATATCTTAATTCATGTATATATCGCTGTTCAAATTAGAAAATATTTTTGTTTATGAATGGTAATTACGAACATTAAATTTAATCAGGTGTAGTTCACTTATATATACTCCAATTTTCACAACTTTAGGACAAAAAGGACAGTGGAGCAATTGGGAAGAGTAGAACGAGTTGAAAGAGTGGTACACTTCATTTTCGAAACACCGCCCAGACAACACATCGCGCTGACGAAAACGACCACACGCGTTATTAGCGACTTATTCCGTCAATCCGGCTACTAGGCTGTCCTACATCAAACGCTGACAAGAAAACAATAGTCCAGACTTCTATCGCAATCTTGAAAAGATATTTCTCTCCCAAAACCTAGCCTCTTCCTCTACGCACTTCGAGTTTGGAAACAGCAAGTAATGTGCCCAAGCCTCCAGTCTGTCCCAAAACTGCTGTCACGATGGAATTGAGCTGCTTCAAATAGTTGCAATTCTTTAATATAGAAATCAACGTGGCAATTTTATAGCGAAATGAAAATTAAAAACAGATTCAATAAGATTTGTTTTGCTGAAACAAAATAAAAACTTACTATTTCATATATAATTCGGAGCATCGCTAACCCAATATATATATATAAAAACCATCAACATCGCAAAACAACTTTATTAAGATAAGAATTCAATAAAGTATATTATTATATAAAAGTCTAATACATCACTAACATAAACATCATAATGGTTACCTGATAACCATTTAAAGGCATCCTATTTGAGCTGCGTCATTCCGCTACCAAATACGAAATTATTCTCGCCACTTTCCTATTGGATTGCGTTTCTGGGTTAAAATCAAATTTATCCAAGCAACCTTGCGAGAAAGGTCTTAGTGATAGATTATTGTACCGGAAGTAGCATCCCAATATTAGTCAAACGTAGTTGTTTTCTTATTCAATACCACTAAGATGTGTCACTTTTGGCGTTAGTCAGATTCGGAGAATCCGTGTCGAAGAGAGCAATCGAATCTCGTGCGTCAGTGACTGTTGTTGCCGAACGCAATAGCTGATCAACTCAAACTGGTGGTTGGAGACCTTTGAAAACGAACCCCAAAAAATAAGTCATGTCCCAAACCTAAACAATTTATTCTCAGAACCAGTCAGGAGCGTAGCCAGAAATTTTCAAGGGGGGGTTCTGAAATTTTTATTTGGCAAGTTAGATCGAAACAGATAGCGGGTCCGATCGAACGCTGGAATACGCGTGTTCTTATTAGTCTTGAGGGTCTAAAAAGGAATTAAATCTACGAAAAAATGCTATCTATGATACAGCAAATTGATTTTACTTTTTTTACATTTCAAAAGGGGGGAGGGGGGTCGACCCGCAAAACCACCCCCCTGGCTACGCCACTGGAACCAGTTACCAGTGTGTTTGTCAATAGCGAGCAAAACACCCATTTGTCTGTGCCACGGGTTGCT